AATTCACTGAGCCTAAAAGATCAGCGTCGATGGGACCGTTAATTACTTTACGTAAAAATAAAATATCATGAGAGTTTTCGCTTCGATAAATTCTGTAAACCTAGTTTCTTAAGAATGACGTCGTAGTCATAATAGACCTTCTACCAAAATACTTATCATAAACAAGACGAATGAAGCGTTTCTGCACATTTTCAAGCCGTGACGCATCAGTGGCAGTCAGCGAATTTCATGCGACACAGTCTTCCTTAACCGCAGTTAAGGAAGACTTAACTGCGGTTAAGGGTGCTCCTGTAACAAGGGTATAACTATGAAACGCGCCGCTGCTCAGTCTTTGAATAGATGTATTTTGTAAAACTCAGTTTTACCGATACTCTAATCGGAGGACTTCACAGCTGAGCTCAAAGCATGTTCGATCAAGAGGAAGCAAATCCAACGGGAGATTGGTTCGCACCTAAAAACTTAAAAAGCTCGTATATATATATATATATATATATATATATATATATATATATATATATATATATATAATACTACAGTTGAAATGAAATGTTTTTGTTTCCTTTTGCCCCATCTTACCCTAAACATAAAGTCAGTTTCGAGCCGAGCCCCTATCTATATATATATATATATATATATATATATATAGATAGATAGATAGGGGCTCGGCTCGAAACTGACTTTATGTTGAGGGTAAGATGGGGCAAAAGGAAACAAAAACATTTCATTTCAACTGTAGTTTTATTTTTCCTTCAATAATTATAAAACGAAACACAGCATCGGGATATTCTTAGATGTCTTGACTCTATGCTCAGTATAGTAGACTGAAGCTTTGGCGAGCAAAACATCAAACAAAGCGACAATATCTGAATGTCAACACAATGTCTCATTTTGCCCCGCCCTGTGGGGCAAAAGGAGACAGTGTAGTGGGGTACATTGAGACATACTTAAAAAACTGATATGCGTTCAGTATTGGCAATAATAATAATTAAAAAGCAAACAAGACAAACTCGAGGCACACCGTGTAAGTTTCAACGCACCGTGTGAGCTCCAACGCACTTTTCATGAGCCCACTCCCTGCATGCCATACACTCCATTCATACTGAATGCGAAGCTGCTTAGCTTCGAAGCTTTATATATATATATATATATATATATATATATATATATATATATATTTTTTTTTTTTTTTTTTTTTTTTTTTGAAGGGACACACCTGTCAAGAAATTAATTTACGCGGAAAAAGTTTCTTTTTTTTTTTTTCTTTTTAGCAATATTGACGGCGTGAGACCCTATTTAGTCGGCAGTCACCTCGCTTCCCCATGTTTTCTCTCTCGCCATTTCGGGCGCGTGGAGGAGAGGTGGATTGGCTTTGCCTTCACGTTGAGGTGGAAAGAGCGAATGATCATCTCGTTGAGATGGAAACAGTGCATGAGCGTTCCGTGACGTAATGGACTTTCCGCGCAGAATTTAAAATAAATCTCGCGTTGTCGATATTGGTCTAAAAAACTTTTTAGCATAAAATTAATTTCTCGACACGCGTGTCCCAATCAGACGGTTTAAAAAAAAAAATATCGCGTATTTTTCTTGTCAAAGGCGCTTTAATGTATGGCTATGCTTGATTTAAAGCGTTTTCTCCTCCTGGTGTTCCCTTGCAGTCCTTCCGACCACGCCTCTTCTTCTTCTACCCTGTCACACTATGTAAGTGTTCGGAAAGACAACGAGGGAACACGAGGGGCGGAAAAAGCTTTGACTAAATCCTAACACTATTCTCCTTCGCACGTCTTCGTTTGGGAGCACTTCCACGGTCCCAAGTGCAGGCATAAAAAGCCCTCTCCTGAGCTAAAAAGTCAATTGTAGCTTTGTGGGCCTCCGCGCAACTTAGGAGCCCCCATGGGACCCAGAAGCGTTTGCCAGCCTGCGCCAAAAGTACACTACAATACGAGACAGCAAAACGTACACATAGTAACCCAAATGCTCAACGCAGATGAATCCATAGACCGATATCACCAGCCAGTTTCGTTACACCGCCGACGCCACAATGCATCGACGAAACTTTGGTCATTTTGCACGTGAAGCAACCTCACTGAAGCAATGCGCATGCAGAGAATGACATGACACAACGAATCTTGAGAACTGCAGCATGCCTCCTCTGAACTAAAGTTATGGCAGCGTCACGGATGCACCGAACACTTGGTGAGATCGGTCTATTGGAAGACTCCTGCCACTAAAGGGGTGGTGCAACGATTTTTGTTCTTTGCACAAATATTGCTCACAATGATTCCCGACGTTTATAACCTATGAGACCCGGATTAGTTTTTGTCCCCACGCAAAGGTAGTCGCAGAAAAAAATAATAGAAAGACGAGCAGCGTTCACCCACTCAACTTTCACCCAGAACAAGCGGCCACGTGATCTGAAGTTGATTATACATACGCCGCCAATGTCTAGGAAGCCACGTGCTGGGGTTGGCAAAGAGGACAGGTTCTTAGTTCCAGACATTGTTAGGCTTCGGCCGTTGTTGTCATTGCAGCGGTTTGACACGAGCCACACTGCCTGAATGTTGTGCTCACACACTGCTCGTGTAAAATCTACGAGCCGCTTTCAAATATCTTCACTGGGAGACTATGCCAACACTGCGACCACCAAACTACTTCATAAAATTTTGCGAAGGAGAGGTTGAAAAAAAATCGCTCGTTTTTATTCTTGAAATTACACCGCAACAAGGAAGTGTCTTGGTCAGTGGCGTTGCATGAGGGTGCACTTAGATCCCACTAGTGCCAGTAAGCTCGTGTAAAGCTTAAAAACGTTCCAACTAAATGCCGTTTCACCTTTAGCCAAAAAAATATTTTAAAAAAATGTTTTCATTGCCTAGGTATTTTTTCTAGTAAGTTTTAGTCACGTAATATTTTTGTACTTTTTAGTTGCATTGAAGATGTTTTAGGACCTCTTAGTAGCGGATGCCAAAAAAACTAAATCCTGAGTGTGTTCGTTCTAACCCTACTGAACCGTCAAAAAACGGCGTTCTTAAAAAAGAAAGAAAAAAGGACATGCCGGGTTTTAATTCTGCGACATTATTTGCTCATGTCTTAAACATGGCTCCTGATCCGTGTTTGATCTTTTTTTTTTTTCTTTTACTATCATTTTTATTTTACATGCGGAAACCTAAACATACTAGCTTTTAAACTATTTTTTAATAGAAACCTGCATTTCGTCGTGATTCCATCAAGTCCTTCTTTACGATAGCTCTGGTCAAACTCCCGCCAAACCATCATTTTGTGTTTTTTCTCTGGGCCGCTGCGATTGACGCTCACGAGTGCGGAAGTCTAACGGAAAGTTGAATTGTTTCTGGAGCGTCTTGGACAGATTGGTGTCGACCAAATTGCGAACGAACGGTAGGTCGGCCGTCAAGCCGGGTACAGATTTCACCTCATTCAAAAACTCTAAACAGAATAGAAAGAAAAAAACATTACTAGAGCAGAGAGTTCCCAAAGTGGCTTTTATCTAATCATTCGGTTCGAGCTAGAGACCTTGCGCCAATTGGAAACGCTTGCCGTATCCATCGATCATCATCGATTTTCTCATCAAGGCCTCCGTTGGCAACAATTCAACTTCATTACGAGTTTCTGAGGCCTTCGTTACGGCTTACGCGGAACTGGAGGGTCGACTTGGAACGTTTGATTACGGGTCCGTAGCTGGGACGGATTTAGGAGAGGCGGGAGGAATGAAGGGGGCGTCACCCCCCTCCCCCCCCCCCCCCTTTTCTTGTTAGACTTCAAGGACGACTTTTTTATGAAATAAAAAAAACCTACGCCAATTTCTTCTTCTCTTCTCTTTTTTTTTTTTTTTTATAAGGAAAAGCGTTGTTTTTGGTGGAATCACGATTGTCTTTCTCCTTGATGTCACATCCATGTCTTTGACCTTGTATCCCTTTGCAGAGGCTCCCCCGGTCTCCCATTCCTGGTAGTTTTTACTGCGTAGTAGTGGTGTAAATAACCTCTGTTTCCTTGTGCTTATAACTCTCTCCCCGATGTAACAAACTTGAGTGTAACAAAAGCAGATGAGCATGTTACATTAAAAGTAAAATAACAAAAAAAAAAAGAAGCGTCGTTTAGTTTTAGTGAGAAACTGCCGGTGCTGTTGAGAAACCACAGTAATCCCCTTCGAGGAGCCCCGAAGGATTTGGGAATTATTTTTGTTTTCGCGGCATCGTGTCTTGTTTCGATATGCATGTGTATTCACGAGGCATAATACCGCACGACCTATCCTGAATGTCGGGAATACAAGCTTCGTGTTGCCATCTTCTCCGTTCGCTCGATCATAACTCATTGGTAGCTGTAACGAAGTGATGACGGTGAGAAACCGTGAACACAAATCTACGGCAAAGCCGTGTTGTTGTTGTTGTTGTTGTTGTCTTCTTTTCTTTTTTTTTTTTTTTCTTCACAGCGCATCTCTACACAGTTTTCTTTTTTCGAAGTGCTTTCTGGAGCGCAGCTCAACCATACTCCACGAAATCTGGAGCGCTTCATCGTGCTCATTATCCCGGCGCAGACTTTTTTTTTTTTTTTAGAAGCGATTGCGAAATTGCGAAATCACGAGTAAAATGGCACCACGTGAATCAGGCTTCAAAACATGTTTGCTCTATCCATATTTGCGCTTCCAACATGCCTGCAGACCGCCATACGAGGAAGAAATGTTCCCCAGTCAGTGTCTGCCGAATGCATTTTGTATGACGTATGAGCAGTGTGGTCTTAGGGGTGAAGAGCGTTGGGGTATAGACCAACACGCGGCCCTAACGTCACGCAGCTGCGGTGGCGCTGTCGACGGCACCACGCACGCGCAGACGCTTCACTTCACGCGAAATCGGTTTCTGCGCACGCGCAGTGCGCACACTTTGCACGCACAAACGCGGGCTTGTTTGTAAACAGCGTGGTCGGTCGCCAGACGCTGCAACGAAGAGACGCCGAGTGCGAAAGACTTTGCAGCGACTCCCGCGCGTGCGCAGATGGCGGCGGTGACGTCCACGACGGCGTGCGCGCCCATCACGTCGCACACGCACCACAGCGGGTCCCTGCCGGAGCTGGCCAACAAGCAGGCGCAGGGCGCGGCGGTCCTGTCGTCCACCGGGGCGGCCCCCGACGCCTCCTCGGGGGCGGCCCGCCGCGACGAGAGCGCCAAGCCGCACCTGCACCTGGGTTTCGCGGAGCGCTTGCACGGCCTCACCGAGAAACTGCACAGCATCGGCGGTCACCTGCGCAGCGAGGGCGACAGCTCTGCCAGGACCCGCACCGGTGGGCTTCTTCCCCCCTCTTCGCTCCTACTCACGTTAGACGCCAAAACACAAACACACACACGAGGGACAAAAAGTGAGAGGCAGCACTACAGGATAAGGCGCCTTGTCGCGAGTTGCCTCTAACGTTTTGTTCCTGTGTTTCTTGGCGTAAAACCTCGGCACAAATGAGAACCAACTGTAGCGCAACTTGCAATTTAATCCTCTTCCTTCCCCCATCCCCCTTTCCTGTAGTCCCCCTTTCTCATTCTTGTATGCTTTACCAACAGCTCGTGGATCACTGTACTTTGTTTCACCTTAAGCCCAGACGTAGCTGACGCTACGACCTGATGGGACCAATCAGAGAGCCTTAAAAGGGCACTGTCAAGGTGTTCGTCGTGTTTCTCCACGTGTTCTATCATCGCTGAAACAATCATAAACAGAAAAGGAGTAGTGACTTGCGCTTTTGACGCTGCTTGATTGGTCCCATTACTTCGTAGCGTCGGCTGCTCTTGGAAATAAGCTTCAACGAAGTATAGGCCGCAGTGATGTCACTTTCTGGCGAAAAGCGCAAGGCATAGAGCTTGGACGCCAGTGATGTGTCGACGTTAGACTGAAACTTCTGTCCTCACAGATCGTACACGAGCCTTTCCGACCACTGACAAGTCCGGCTCGGACTCGAGTGCCAATCTGTACCCCGCGCTGGCCTCTACACTCTAAAAGCAAAAGCAAGGAGAAATGGAGGAAGAACGATTTTTGTCCCTGTCGCCAACGGAAGGCGAGGAAGGTGCTCCCGTTCATCGACCTACCAACCGGGGGGGGGGGGGGGGGGGGGGGGGGGGCGGGCAAGAGGGGCGCTGGCTTTCCTAGTTCTCAGAGTTGGGGGGGGGCAAGGCATGTGTTTGCCCCACACCCCCCTGAAACAGCCGCAACTGGGCAGGCCGAACATTGGCCGGCGGCGCATCATGGGTACCAAGGACCAAGGGGGGGGGGATCTAGTTCGCCCCCCCCCCCCCCCCCACTCAAAAATAAGTTGGTACGCCACTGCTCCCGTTCCTTTCTGTTACCGACTCACACACCACACCGTCTGGTGGCGTTTGAAAAAGGGACGAAACATTCCTCCTCCATCTGCGCGGCGGCAACGGCGGTTAAACAGGTGACGGCAGGGACGGCAACTTTAGTGCTTTGTCTAGCAACACTGGGCGATTGTTACGACAATTTGAGTCGGGAAAATCCATGAGCACAGCTGAAAGGTAATGATTTGTATGCACATTTGATTAGACTTTTACAGCAGGCATACACAAAAAATAAGGCTGTTATAACATGAGAGACACAAGTGACAGAACCGGCAACAATAAAAAGAAGACAGGCTAGATTCTTTGCTATCGCTCCTAATTCTTGTGAAAGACCTGAGTAGAATGAAAAGAAATTAGAGAAGTGAATTTTAGGTTTTTATGTGTCATATATAGAGAGAGTGGTAAATTAAATCAAGTTATACCTGGAATGTTCTACCCAGACGACATTCTACTATTAGCAGATAGCCGGGATAGGCTACAGGACCTCATTAAGACCTGTGGAGAGGAAGCAGACTCTCTGGGCCTCAAGTTCATTAGCGGCAAGTCAGGAATAATGGTATATAACGATGAGAATGGGGCCCACCGAGAATTCAAGATATTTTAATAAAACACGCAGAGGACTATAAATATATAGGAGTATGGCTGAATAAGTGTAAACGATACTCAGAAGAACAGGAAAAGGGATAGGCTAAAAAAAGGAAAAAGGAATGTAGCAATTATGAAGCATGGAGCACTATGGAATTACAATAGATATGAAATTGTTAGGGGCGTATAGAAAGGAATCATGGTGCAGGGAGTGTCTTTTGGCAATTCGGTATTATGCATGAAACCTGAGGACCAGTGGAATTTAGGGACAGGGCACAGAAGCTTAGGCAAAGTGGCGCTGGCGGCACATGGGAATTCACCAAATGAATGAGTGCAAGGTGACATGGGCCTGGCATCCTTCTAGGTTAGAAAGGCAATCAGTAATTTGAAATTTGAACAAAAACTAGACACAACTGAGGATACACGACGGGCGGGAAAGATATATAAGCGTCTACATAGGAAACGTCTGAACCCTAAATGGACAAAGCGGACTTGTAAACTGGAATTCAAATACCAAGAGTGAAGTGGCGGGGCAGGGGCAGGGCACACAACCTCTGTGGAAAATGAAATTAAAAAAGCGGAGAGAAAAGTGTGCGAGGAAAGAATGCAGGGAAAATCAGCTTTATATATGTGTAGGCGCCGCAAAGAGGAAATAACGATGGAGAATCGGTATGAAAATTCACGGGGGAGGTTAGAACAGGAGCATTGAGGACTAGTACCAATAAAACAAAGTACGAGAAAATAAATGCACATTTTTTTATGTCCCAATTAAGTTTCAGTGGGAGCGCATGCGAGGCAATACGAGTCGATGGGGCCAATCAAGCAACGAACAAACGCAACGTCACGGTGTTCGTCGTGCCTCTCTGCGCTTGCTGCCATCCGCTAAACCAATCAAGCCCAATTACTGTGTCCTGACCTACGTGTGTCAGTGTTCGTGTGTCTTCTAGCCTTTAACCGTGCTCTTGCAGTTGGCGAAACAAAGTATTTCCGTTTTACCTTGGGACGTACCGCGCCGAACGCTACAAGCAACTGGAGTCAACCCATAGCTCGGAGTTTTACCCGTGAACTTCCGTTTGCACCAAGTGACGCACGCAGCGGCGAATTCACGTGGCACGCGCGGAATGCTGGATTGGCTAATAGAGTTTGTAGTGTCTGTTACGGTATATCGCAAAAGTGAAATGGAGAGGGAGGAGTCTCAAAGAGCCATAGAAGAATACGGGGCACCCCGTTGTCTTCGTAACTCCAACGCTTGCGAAGGAGTAGAGGTCTGGACGACGGCAATACTTGGCGTTGCAGGGAGCGCCTCCATCCATCCGGTCGTGACGGTGACGCAGAACTACGGAGACTCGACGGACTCGTCGCCCAACCAGAGCCAAGTATCCAGGAATTCTTCGAGGAAGTCAAACAGCTCTCTTCTGGTGCACAGCGGTGAGCGAGCTAAGCACTCTCTCTCTCCGTCCCTCGTTTCGCATCACCATTTTGGCTCCGCTTATGCAACGGCGCGAGGCTGGGAGGACGCACCACCGCGGTGGCGATACTTTTCGACGTGGCGCGTCCGTGGACCCTTTACATGACGCAAATCTGATTTCTACGGATGCGCAGTGTTCACACCTGGTGTGTGGGTGGACAAAGGCGGACGTGTTTTGTAGACAACGCCATGATCTATATACGTGTTGTCCTCGTCACACACACCGCAGAACGGTGGACGGCTCATTTCTTCATTCATTCCCTTGAATACGAATGCTTCGCTCTAGCAATATGTGACGCTTCCAACTTCTTCGCATCGTGTTCTGGCATTTCGATGTACAGGAACGGCATCTGGACGGGCGACCGCCCAATATGCGCAAGTTTACTTAAGTGTGCGTAAGTGTCAGTGTCAGCCCATCTTCTCAAAGATCGTAATCATTGGAAGGGGTGCAAACCAGAGAGGAAGAGAAACGTTGGAATCGTGTGCTAAAATTAAATAATTACAGTAGAAAAAATGAAAGACGTTTAATTTTCTCTGGCCGAATTAGAGTGCAGCTCTTGAGGAGGAGGAGGAGGGGGAGGGTACGCCCGTGTTACGTCACGTGTGACGTCATTATGGCAAACGTCCCGTAACGCAACGCGCGGTTACGCCGACGGCGACGTGCTCGACCCGGAAGAGGGTGCCTGAGAGCTGCGTTCTAAAAATATAAAAACATCCCCATAAAAAAAAAAATCAAAGGCGTTTAAAAATCTCTGTAACGCGAAATTAGAGCGCAGTTCTTGAGGAGGAGAAGGGGAGCTTATGCCCTTCCTCCCCCTCCCTACTCTCCCCTCCTAACTCCCCTTTTTTCTTCCCTTCCTCCTCTTTCCCCTCCTCCTCCTCCGTACCCTCCGATCCTCCTCGTCCCGTACCCTCCCCTCCTCCTCCTTCATACTCACCCCTTCTCCCACAGTTCCCCACAAAATTCAGCTGGAAAATTGACGCCACGTGACCTCCAAACCAATTCAGTTTTCCCGCTAACTTTAGCAGGGAAAACAACGTCACACGACTTCGTGTCACGTCACCCGTGAATAAATTCAGTTTCTCCACTAGATTTAGCAGAAAAATTTACGTCACGTCACCTAAACACCAATTCAATTTCTCGCTAAATTTATCGGGGCGGTTACGCCGACAACGACGGCGACGCCGTTATACGCGGAAAAGAGCGCCTAAAAGCTGCGCTCTAAACGAGATTGTGACTTTAGACGCGTGTTGATCACGTCGAGGTGTACTCGTTTTCTTTTGTAAGTGTCAGCCCATTTTTTCAAAGATCACAATCATTGGGAGGGGTACGAACCAGGCAGCTAGAGGAACGTTTGAATCATCTGGTGATAATAATAATAAAATAATAATAGTAATAATGATAATAATAGTAATAATAATGATAATAATAATATTAATAATAAAACTGAAAAAAAAAATTTATTTTCCATTCAATACAGGAATGGAGGAAACAAGGAAAACAATCTGCTTAACAGCTTGACGAAGCCCCCTGCTCCCTTACAGTTCCATATTGCAAATTAAAATACAAAGCAAGAGCAAAATATCAACATTCTATACAAAAATAAATTGCGCCCTATCGCAGAAAACCAATATAGTCAATTCAAATTAGGAAATAAATCTTGCTTCTTGCGCGGTGCATCATAAGAAATGTCCCATAATGCACCGCGCGCTCAAGCCGGAAACGAGCGTCTAAGAGCTGCGCTCTAAAAAGTGAGTAATTATAGACGCGTGTTGATTGCGTCGAGGTGTAGTTGTATTCTTCCGTGAGTAAGTAGCAGCCCATCTTCTCAAATATCACAATCATTAGGAGGGGTACGAACCAGGCATCTACAAAAATGTTGGAATCATGTGCTAATAATAAGTAATTATGGGAGAAAAGTATAAAAACGTCCGTATAAAAAGAGAGAGGGATTATGGACACGTGTTGAATACGTCAAGGTGTAACTGTTTTCTTTGCTTGCGTTTAATTTTTTTATATAGATGCTAGTTGTGAGCTTGCACTTTCACGTTTAAGCTATTTTTGTTTTCTACTTTTCCCGTGTTTCTTTGTTTTTATGATCGCGCACGTCGTGCGTTTTTTCCGTAAGCATAAATTAACTATCACGCATGGCTATATAATTCGGTTCATAACTAAAACAAAACGAGTGTTTTTATCTAGAGAGTTTTCACTCACCTTATACACAGCACCCGCACGTTTACGGCACCCGCAGAGTACGAGGTTAGCGGGTTATTGCGATTTGCGGAAGACGCTGGGCGAATGACAAGGCATAGGAGCTCTTTGTTCCCGAAAATAAGACTCGTACTCTGTGTACTGGGCGTTAGAAATGTCGGGCTCTTGTGTGTCGCTGTGCAGGCAGCATATGGACGCTACATGTTTTAGGTGATGCCACAGCAGCCGCAAGGTCGTAAAGCTTCCCTAACAATGCGACTGTATAGCATTGCCGAGTTCGTCACAAGGAACTTTTAATTTGAGCGAACGTTTTGACTTCGTACTGTTACGTAACATAATATGTCTGTTACGTCTGCAGGTTTGTATATGGTCTGAACTAATGGCCTCTTTTGAGAGAGAGAGAACTCATAAAGTGGCTTCACGTTCCAGTTCTATTTAAAAATGGCTCATTCATCGGCGAAAACGGCTAGAAAGGTTATTACTGGCTTATGACTCCACAGACTGAGTGTTCTAGAAAAACGCTAACCTTTCTTTAACGGGCTTTGCCATTTCTATCTAGGTTAAAAGTGTGGGACGATGGCGGCTTCAGTGCGGCAGGCCATTTGTTTTCCCTACATTAATCCGCCAGGACGTGCTGAAAGAAAAGAGGACTAGTGACGTAATCGTTCTGTTTGATCCACTGGCCACATCGCGGCATAAATTTTCGGAACGTCCTACGCGAAGCAGAGCCGAGCGCAGCTTCACGTTTATAGGACGTGGGCATTAACGTATGGTCCGGCGTTCATTCGACGTGAGCTCGGACGAGGATTAGGAAGGACGACGGGCGCTCTGCTTTCCCTTTCCAGTGGACCTGAAGCCCCTGCGGAAGACGAGCAGCCACATCGACGTGCACACGGTTCGCGTGCCTCTGAAGGACATCATCTGCTACCTGTCGCTCATGGAAGCCGGCCGTCCCGAAGACAAGCTCGAGTGTGAGTCCCTCATTCGCCTGCCACATCTTCGCTCAGCTGGAAGGTTGCTAGTATAGAGCCACTAAATGAGCTGAGCTTAGAGTATCGGCACTTCGTTCCCCGACATTGTTGTGGGCGCCGACATTTTGGCTCGTATGCAGGGTAGACGCAACTGCCGATCGTCATGATTCAAAAGCGCAACTTCGTCAGCACAAGATTCTGTGTTACCGCTCATTCACACTGGAAGCGGATCCGCGTTCGCAAAGCGGTTGCGAACGCGGTTGTATAACGATCCAGTACAAATTACACGCGCACTCGATGACATCAAGTGCGCGTGCAATTGTACTGAACCTTTATACAACCGCGTTCGCAACCGCTTTGCGAACGCGGATCCGCTTCCAGTGTGAATGAGCGGTTAGGAAGGTCATGTAATATTGTTTTGCTCTGTCGCGAACTGCTTAAACATTAGTGAAGGGCGAAAAAGCGTTTCCTGTGATTTCAAATAAAGCTTCAGATAACTGGCAACCATGATTTTAAGACACAAAATGGCCAAGTGTCGATACTCTGAAGCGTAGATTATTTAGTGGCACTAGTTGCTAGCTTGGCGGTTCTGGCTGCCGTTGGGAAAGTTTGAGAGGGGAGTGTGCCTCGACCTTACTGTTCTTTGTTGTTTCGTTTGTTCGTGTGTCCGTTTTGTTTGTTTGTTGTTGACTCAAGTTCGCGACTATGCACACATTGAGCTCGCATTGCGAGACGATAGACCTTAAGTAACGAGAAGACGAAGACGATGAAGAACAAAAAAAATAAAAAAAAAAAGAAGATGGAGAAGAAGATCGTCTCACGATGTTAGCTCAATGTGTGCTTAGTCGTGAACCCGGGTCTCTGGGTGCTCCGGAAAACGTCAAATTGTCAAATGACGAAAAAGTATTAAAACCTGTAACATGTAACTTCCCCCAAGACAGTCTTACTTTCACTAGTCTATCATTCAAAGCAGGTGCAAGGCTGTAGGGAGTGGCATATTTTTCAGTTGTCTAGTTCTGCAATAAGAAGAAAAAAAACGACTGATGGCTCATTACCACCTGTCAAACTCGTTTTTTTTTTTTTTTTTTTGTATTTTGAATTACGACATGTTTCACTCGTGGAAATTGTAAGGTCCCGGCTTCTAACACTCAAGATTGTGTGCTGTTTTCGAACACCAAACTGGGGTGCAAGATATCAGCCGCGCTTCCTGATCTTTATGCTTCTTAGTTGGTTGGGAATGATACCGTCAGGTATCACAGTTCTTAGAAACAAACATCTTCCTGCAAGTCCCAGAATAAAATATTTGTCATATAAAAGAAGCAAATATACTAAGATACATTAAATAGCCATCAATCTCTTCTAAGATTTCTTTGGCGCCACTCTGTATTACCAACAGCAGTACGAAACCTCAAACTGAACGAACAGACATAATTTCCCTCTACTGTATCCTCGCGCCAGTAAAGGCTCTTTTTTCGAACGTGTACAACGAGTTTCGTTCAAGAAATTGTTGTGCATCAGGATTCACCTCCATATGCTTCTCGGTGTCACATTAAGGATGCACTCTCTAAATTCCAATACCAAAAGCGCCAAATATAGGGTAAACTCGTGCACTCCATACGACGTGCAATGCGGTGAAAAAGCGAGCGCCTGCCTGCGTCTTCAAACATACCTCTGCCGCACTGCTCCGGACGCAGGATTCTGCAGCAACTTTGAAATGTTTTCGTCCATGCCCTTCATTTGGCTTCACTCCTTATTTCCCCACGCGAACATTCTCAGCTCGACGCACGCGAAGGCGCCGCTATATTACGGTCGTTTCCGGCTGCGCGCGGCATGACGTCAAACCCACAGATATCGTCACTCATCCACGCAAACGCCATTCACCGAGAATTCACCGCTCACGATGTTCGCCGAAACTTTGCGAAAGATGTCGTCACCTCCAACAGGTCACTCGAACAATGCCGACGCTGACGAGCTTTCTTGACGGCGTGGCGCAACGCGATGCAGCTTTTTCCTCCCATTTATTTCGTAAATTACCGCTCCGTGGGCGGGAGCAGATTGGGGGTTGGCGGTCAGGTTGGATGACCGATAACGCGTCGAGTCGTGTCTCAAACACCCCTCCCTCTTCCGTAACGACCCTCGTCCGCTATGCTCCCTCTAGTTTTAAAACGAACCGCAGCGGACCAACAACGGCTCTGTGAGCCGTCATAGCCCTCCTCAGCCAATCGAGCTTTGAGAGAGTGTCACGAGTCCTTACAGTGGATTACGACGACGCGCCGAGCGCAAAGTCACGTGGTTCGCTCAAGATACCGGATTGGCTGGCGTGGACGGAAGCGTCCAGTGCGGTCCATCTAAGAGTTGGGACGGAGTGGTGGAACCGGCGTTCTAGCGATAAGGCCACCACCATTTTACTTGCGTATTCGGTGTGAGCTCGGCGGCGTTCCGGTGGGCCTAAAGCCCCTCTGTTGTGCTCACCGCCCGCGGAAATGACCGACTTCCATTCTGGAAATGTTCTAGTAAAGCCACGCTTCTGCTGTCGCCACCGCGATACATCGAGAGGTTTAGGCTTATAGAGGACTGCGTCGTGCGATTACCGGGGCAAGGGACGAAGTCTGATGCGGAAGCTCCTATAGATGTTTCACTCAAAGCCTGAACACAGCTGAAGCCGCGATCCGATGGGGCTAATCAAGCAGCGCCAAAGGTGATACATCATCAGAGCGCTCGTTGCATTTCTGGTTCGCTATCAGTGGCTAAAGCGTTCAACCGATAAACCAATCACGCAACAACCAAAAAAAAAAACGCAAGATGGCGGCGCATTTACTATGTGTGATTGGCGAGGAATGCCCTGACGATGCACTTTTCGCGTTGCTTTACTGACTCCATGAGATCAAAGCATCACCTGCGGTCAGGGGCGAATGCTGGTGTTTCCAGAAAAAGAGAGGGGAGGGGGGGGGGGGGGGGGGCGGACGGGCGAGCGGGCGGAGGGGTGAACATAGGAAATTCAAAAGGGAGAGGGAGAAGGGCAGAATATCCGGTCTCCCCCACTGAATTTGACACTGGCTGCGGTCGGACTTAAAGTGAAACAGACTATAGCCGAGCTCTAGTTTGTTCTTGCATCTTTATCTAGCGGATGCAGGCAGCTCTGGCTGTCGACACTACCTATGCACGGTGGAGCTTAGAGATGGGTGGCGCGCAGTCGTGAGATAGGACATTGAGTTATACGGCTCGAAGATATATCTCTGAAAACTATCCTTCTGACCTTTCATCGCGACAATCAAATAAAGAAAAAAAGCTAGAACCTACAACCGTGATTTTAAGTTTAATAGTTTAGAACCACTTATTCACCCACTTGCTGTGCCCTGCAACATCAAACTGATAAAGATCATCGTGTTTCGCCTTATTAAGCTGGAGGCACTTGAGAGTTTGGTAGGATTTAACACTTACAAAAGATTGATTAAGAGTGGTGTCCCTACCAAATCCCAGTGTAACTTTTCGCTCTTTGGATTATAGAACTGGAAGTCTATCTGGATACTATCTGGATTTTAGGTTTCCAGAAACAATTCCAGTTTAAGTTCGTTTCATAATCCAGATAGTAAAAGTTACACTAGATTTTGCGGTAGGAGTAGCTTCGTTATCTGTGTGTACATCCTGTTATTCGCCCTAATAGGTTACTCACACCTTTAAGTAATGGACAAGTGTATTGCCTTGTGTCGTGCCCTGGGCACAGTATGGATACAACTTGGATTATCAAATAAGGCGTCCTTCACCAATACCTGAAAGCAAACTTTCGTACAATTGCGCTGTTCTTGGAATTTAACCTGGCTTGTAGGTTCTGTGTGAGTTTTAATTTTTCGTGATCTTAACTGATTGTTTGCTTTGCAGAATTTTATTGGGTACAAATCTTCGCACATTAGACAACCATTCTAGTTGGGAGCTCCCGGTATTTTCGTAGTCTCAGAAGACGTAAAGCGTGGCATTTTTGTTTTTCTTTTCAGTCATGTTCCGGTTGTACGACACGGATGGCAACGGCTACCTAGACAACAATGTAAGTACCTGTAAATAACAATTTAAATAACAATAAACAACAATGTATGTCCCTGTAAATAAGGTAAATTTTGCAGGGACCGGTTGTAGTTGTTGTTGTTTTATGACTTACAGAATCTAAATAAGTTCGATAATTGCCATAATACACATTTCAAATCCTATAAGATATAAACTAAAACCCACGTATAAGACGGGAAAGATGTCGCTGCAGCGGGCACATTGTTTTTTGCATGATGTGTAAGTGGTTTGACTGCGGCTTAACCCTGGAGGGGTTGGTGACACGCATACTGATATTTGAATGTACTGGTAGACCAAAAAAAAACCCGTAAAATGTTAGAAAAAAGACTGCGTCAAGCAGCGGAAAACGCAGCACTGGATAGTTATTCTTATAATGAGTGCGCCTCTCTCCCTCCCAACCTTTAAATCCGCCTGGAACTTTGAACTTGTGATTCCTCTTTCACACCCTATCCCACTTTTAATCCCTCATCCCTTTGTTCATGCGAGTCTTTTCCCCTGTTAGGCTGAATAATAGTACGCATGGACATTCGCCCTCTTTTCCCGTATCTCAACACTCAACCCCCCCCCCCCCCCCTTCATTTTTAGCCACTGTTTTACGTGTATCATTGAGATGTATTGGAAACACTGTAATGTGTTTCCAATACATATCAACTGTATGTAACCGGATAAAAAGCGTCACCAGGAATGCTGCATTGTTTTTTTGTTTGTTTGTTTTTTAACGCGATAGCGTTAAGGAGCTCGTGTCACACCAGTGTCAGCCTGGGTGACATGGCAGAAAATGGAGGGACGCAAAAATCCTGATTGGTCGATGGGGTTACGACGTCACAGCCACATGACCTGGCGCGGGAATTTCAAACATACCACAAAGCTCACGCGAAGCGTGACGTCAGGTGTGAAATGAGAGTGGTTAAAAAGCATGGCGTGTAATGCGAATTAAAGGTCACCGCAAGTCTCGAATGAGTTCAATTCATCAAGTAATTCATTTGCCTTAAAAAAAAAAAAGATGAAAAATTTTAGGCAGGATTCGAACCCAGGACCCTTTGGTTGCGAGCCAAGCACTCTACACTCTAAGAAAGGCCTGCGCGTCTAGTTGCCCGCAAAACACTCAAAAAGCCACTCTCTGCGATTTACGAAATCAGCTCAGCGAAGGATGAGGTACAGCATCCGTTTAGACCTAAAATGGAGTCTGCACTGTGGCATTACGCAATGCAAAGCGGCATGCTTGCATTGCGTAATGGCGCAGCGCATATTTCATTTTGAGGTCTAAACAGATGTTCCGCCTCATCATTCCCTGAGCTGATTTCGTAGATCGCAGAGATTCGCTCCTCGAGTGTTTTGCGTGTAAGTAGACGCGCAGGCATTTCTTGGAGTGTACTGACGAGGCTACGCAGGGCACGCTTGCACGGCGAATGAGAAAGCTATGCGAACGGGGCCCGATAACGCTATCGTCTTTCACTTTTAAATTTAAGCTTAAGCGTCCTCCGAGCTTTTTTATGTCTAATAATGCCTCCTGACATATACTGAGTGCGTGACTTATTTTACGATAATACTTCAATCCGCGTTCAATATGAACCGAACGTCGTTTTGTTGTTTTTGAAATACACGCTGTCCTACCCGTCTTTCAGACTAGCTCCAGCCATCGACGCTAGCTAAAAAAGAAATAAAAGAAAGAAAGCCAGTGTACGTAAGAGTGGTACGCGGAGTAGGGACATTAAGCCGAACCTGGCGGAGCACGGAGCCTCGCATTAGGGATTAAGATTGGGAGGACAAAAGCGGGTCACGTCCTAGCGAACACATCAAGGCCAGAGGTATTTTCGAGGGACGAGTGAAGCGGTCAAACGACAAAGAATGTTACAAGCTCTAATGGCTTGCTAGAATTGGTCCTCCTTTATCTGGTATTATAGCTCGCTCCCGTGCGCCATGAACGGAGGATGCTTTGGCTATTAGCGTGAGCCCTTGTCACGATTATTAATAATTCAGGGCTCTAACCGAAATTGGTTTTACTTTTGTTTTTAGGAGGAGAAGGGGAAAGGGGGTCGCAACTTCTTTTGCGTGAAGTAAAGGAGGTGTAACTCACATTTTAATGCAACGTTCATTGGAGTTTCTTATAAATTGTTTCTCGCAATGTGTTTTGCATTTTTGAGTACTATATGGCCTACTGTGGTACCAGATGAGCAGGATTTCTTTAATCGGAAGCTACGTAGTTGGCATCTGTGCAAAGCTTTTTTCGATGCGTCATCATTTGATCTGAGTGGTGGCCAACGAGGAAGAAAGCTGGAGTAGTTTGAAAAGATTGCGAAGAAGGATTTAACGCTTTCACCGGTGATATGCATGGAGTCAGCTTTTACAAGCGTTATACTTGCAAGCAAGCGTGTGTCGAACAATAACTGGCACCACAATAATTTATCGTGCACTTTCAGTGCAACACAATTTTACGTGTGACCACGTAAAAATAGGAAGATGCCACGTGACTGCTCGTCTCCTTCGTTAACTGAAGTGCTCAAAACTCAATTTTATTCATTCTGTTTTTTTTTTTTTTTCTTTTATGACCAACTACGACAGTGCGTAGACACCAAATATTACGCATTATCTTGCTAGAAGCAGCATGAGTCAATATTCGATACTGCCTAGCCTAAGTCAGATAATCGTTTCACGGTTCATTTCAACTCATGCAATCCTTTTTGGCTGTGGTTTTTTTTTTTTTTTTGTAAAATGTAGGATTTATTTTCTAGATTAAATATGTTTTACGTAATGGCGCATATATTCATTTTCTTCCGCCTAAACGCTCGTTCACGTGAAGACTATAGCAGAACGATCAGCTTCAATTCATGTAAAGGCGTCTTCACCTTGCTAATGGTGTAAGTGAGGTGAAGCCAGCTTTCCAAGCAAATTGACGAGACTGAACGGCGGCACTAGCGTTCTCAACTGTCATTAAGCCAACGATCGTTGGCATCGTTCAACTGTCATTGAGCATAACTAAGTTGTCCGGTGTTACACGGTACATAGGCCTAAGAACGCCAGTTGAGATGCGTGTTAAGGGACACAGTTGAAACCGAAACGAAACCAAAACTCATGCCACATTACCTTTCTAAAAAAGTAATCCAAACCAATTATACGCATATTTTGCATCCATTAGGAACGTATAAAACAAAATAAAATTAACTTCATCTTTGTTTTGAGAATAAAAAAAAGAATGAGAATCAGAACGTTTCCCGCGAATTCAACTAAGGGAGACGCAATGAAAGTCTTATAGGCATTGACATCACAATGGCCGCCCTCGCCGAGCTATGGCTTCCGCGACGAGCCGTGATCCTTCTAGCGGCAGCTCTGGCCCGAATCATTCGTCTTCGACAATATTTTGTGCTACGAAACCTTTATTTCTAGATTTCTCCCCGAACCTTCCGCAACAGTAAGTGGTAGCGCTCTGGCACTGGCCATGGACGGCGATCCGGCACACGCCGCCATTTTTCGCTCTATTGGGGGCGAAGTCCCATCAGTTAACTGAGGTATGAAAGCTCAGTTGAACTTAGTGATTGTTAGTGACTCAGTGACAATTGGGGCCGCCGTTTAACTCCGGCCGATCGCGATTGAGTCAACTATAGTTGGCTTAATGACAGTTAAAGGGGTACTCCGCCGATTTCTTCATGGTCCCCGATTTGCTTGAGATTTTGCTAAACTCGCCAAACAACATCGCCAAAATAGTATCCCAAATATTGGGTCAAAATAATTTTTTTCACGAAGTTATTGAATTTACAATTTTGGTCCTCACCGTGTTTTTCAAACTGAAAGTCTCTACTGGCAACAGCGAAAAAGTGACGTCAGTGGAAGTGCCGGGGTTCACTCTTTGGACTGTAGAATTTGTTCCCAACTGATTCGAAGCAGTTTCATGGTGTCAAATGAATGCTTTGGAAGCTTGCTCCAGGACCCGCGCTTCAGCACGGAACAAATGATTGGCATATTTTATTTTTTAGACTGCTCGCCTGACTGGCAAGCTGACCTTCCAATGACGTCACGGCACTGAAAAGGGCGGGTATATTTGAATGTTGGTTTTTGCATCATTTTCATTTGCCGATTTCGCGATAACTATTATGAATTTCACGATACTAAATAGCATACCAGAAAGGGTAAAGGCCGGGGAGTCAGAAAACATAGTTAGATGAGGTAGCTCAAAAATCGGCGGAGTACCCCTTTAAGAGCGCTGATGTAACAAATGTATTAGAGATATACTCGCGGACAACTTTCTGTGCATTTCACAAGAAGCGAAGAGTTTGTGAGTGCAGCTTTGTTCTGAGCTCCAGGTCCACGAGCGTTCGTGAGCCCAATCTTTGATTGAATAGCCATAGAAAATTGTCCGCCAGTATAGTAACTAAAGGAAAATCAGAAGTCAATTTACGATTGTTCTGCCTCGCTAGGTGGCGTGGATTTCTACAGCATAGATTTTATTTAGATCAAATGCGTACTTTTGTGTTTCTTACAAGTAGCAGGTTGTAGGGTGAAAATGACACGTATATGGTAACCGATAGTAATAAAACAAATGGCAGGGACGTCTTTCGTTGTCCTGCTTCCAGCGCGGGCTTCTCACCTAACACTTGGGCGTCTTTGGTGCCTCAGGCTTGTAAACGCAGTCAAAGCACGACGAAAGGCGACGGGTTGCACATCCGAAAGAGACTCGCGGCCTTTCTTTCCCTGCAAGTAACTGCGCTGCATTTTCTTTCAGGGGAAATGTTCTTCGCCATGGTAAAATAAAGTGCAAACTATGAGGACACTTCAGATCAAAAAGCATGCATGCTCCCTTTAGCGACATGACCCGGTGTAGCCTGTGTCGAGATTCACTGCCTACTGCTCGTTCGATTACACAAGTCACACCTTTCTAGTATAAGATGCCGCGTTAGTAGGCTTAAACTCAGTTTCATGCACATCGTTATGGAAAAGTTTAGAGTGTCTCCAACGGAGAAAACCCTAATTCTTGCGCTCCAGAAGCACGTTTACGACTGTTTGAGGTTTTAAATTTTTTTTTGGCGTATATGAATGTTTTTTTCTCTTTCTGCTTCTTCTTCAGGAGACTGAGTGCATCGTGAACCAAATGATGAGCGTGGCGGAGTACCTGGGCTGGGATGTATCCGAGTTAAAGCCGGTGAGTGCAGTTGACAACTGTTTCTTCATTTCACCATTATCAGAGACAAACAAACATTTAAGATTTGCTCGTTTGATCCATGCACTTTGGTGCATTCCTGAAATTTACCTTGCACTGCAAACATCTACCAATGAAAAAGTATTGAGTGACGGTGAGACCTTGTGACAAGCACTGTCCCAATGTAATTGAGCATTGCTTTATTTCAGTGTTAAATCAAGACGTTGCTCTTACTTCTTTACGTTTTTTTTTTGTTTTATATTTTTCTTGAGAGTGCCGTTTTTGATATTTATTTAAACGGTATGGCTTTATTTTGAGAGCGTGCTAGGTTCTACAGCGACGTACGTTAAAACCATTTTTACTTTCTCGAACCTGATAAGTTTTCCGCATCTCTTATCGTCGACAGATCCTCCAAGAGATGATGGTGGAGATCGACTACGACGCCGACGGCACCGTGTCCTTGGAGGAGTGGAAGCGCGGTGGGATGACCACCATCCCGCTGCTCGTACTTCTCGGCCTGGACGCCGTAAGCGAACCCCGTCTTATATCACGCCATTTCCTCCAGCTCGATGGTTATTCTATCCTTTCCAGCCGTTTCGAGATGTTCAGTATAGACTTGTAATGCACGCGCGACCTTACCTGAGTTCCCGTTGACGCTGCAGAACGTGAAAGACGACGGCAACCACGTGTGGCGCCTGAAACACTTCAACAGGCCGGCATACTGCAACCTCTGCCTCAACATGCTTGTCGGACTCGGAAAAAAGGGTCTCTGTTGCGTCTGTGAGTACTTTTTAGATCGTCGCCGGCATTGAGTGTGAAACCACAGACTTCCTGGTGTGGGCCACTACTGGCCTCAAAGTAATGCGACGGCTTTGTTTTTTTGTTTTTTTTTTAAATATCGGTATTACCAACGGTTCAACTTTAGAGCTGTGAAAACAAGATAAAAATTTGAGTAGCTTATATAAAATGACAGTGAAATAGCTGTTGTATTTTATCCTGCCTCCTTGCTTATTCGCATTAAATGGGTATGTTGTAGCGGAAGAAATTTGTATTTTTACACTTAGATAAACATTTTCAGTTTTCAGTATTTTTAATCGCTTCTTGCGTGACCTAAGCGTCATCACCGTCACAATTAGTGTCGCCATCATATCATCGAGCTCTTTTATTTACAACATACATATTGCGGTTTAAGGCTATAAATTTCTCAATTTTTAGTTCGAGTACTTTATTTAAAAGAAGCAGGGGATATTGTACAGCAAGTTTGTTACACGCTTTGCTATGAAACCATTTCAGAAAAGGGCGCCTAGCCACTGCCGGTTTCGGCGTTCGTGCATATATGGCGCGCGCTATATTCCCTTTCCGAAGCAACAAATACGCGCGTGCCGGGTTGTGAAGAGTTTGTAACTTCCGATCGGTGCCGTCAAGGCTAGCATAGTTTTCACAGTTTTTGAAGCCCCGTACTTCTGCGGGAGCACGTGGTTTTTTCTTGTGTATCATTCGTTTTCGCGGAAAGGACACACCAAACGAAGCCACGCACTCGCGCAACTAGCTTTGACAGCACCTAGGAAGCTACCTTTCGCCTTTGTGAGGTCACTGGCTAAGAACAAAGTGTCTTTGCGTCCCTTGCAGTCTGCAAGTACACAGTCCACGAACGCTGCGTCCAGAGAGCACCGGCTTCTTGCATCAACACTTACGTCAAATCCAAGAAAAGTTCTCAGGTAATTCGAGAGTTCTCAAATAAAACAAACGCGTCACGCACTGCGTGTCAAGGAGCACGCAAGAGCCGGTCACGGTGATTGATAGGATCAAACCAGCGAATTCGAGGCAACTCTCATTTCATCACAAACATCTCACTGCGCAGGATTACTGAACATGCCATATACATGCTCAATAAAGTCCCGTTCACGCAGCACCGTTTGGGTTCGTTCACACAGGCGCGTTTGCTTACTTTTTTATGTTAGGTTATGAGTCCCCTGGACATCCGTACTTCCAATGTCGCGTGGATAGTTCCTTTTTAAACTGGTTGCCATGCTTCATACCAAGTACAGATGTCCCTGTGACTCTGGTCGTAAGCGGACCTAAGCTCCCGTCACGTAACGTAACTTATGGAAACGGAACTATGTGAATTAGACTTTACGGAAGCCTACGTCCGCGTATACGTCGTGAGTCGCCGGGAAATTGGTGCATCGCAGCAACCCGTTCAAAGAGTAGCTTTGCACGCGACATACAAAGTGCAGATTTCCCAGTGGCTCATAACGCAACGCAAGAAAAGACTAAACTAACGCTCCAGTGTGAACGGGCCTTAATAACCCTGCGCAGCTCCCTCTTTGTAATCAAATCTTACCTGTGCTTTCTCATTCGTTTATTTTATTTATTTAATTTTCTTTTTGTAAAGCGCCGTCACTGCCGTTCGTGTGCTCCCTAAAAAAAAGGAAAAGAAAACAGACTCGTAATTATTTTTATTAGCATAAGGAGATGAGGGATGTATGCGTGTAAATACTGTAATCCAGTATAAAGCCAAAAAGAACGGCTCGTTGAGACTCATGGAGGGTTCGTTCGATTTCCTCGCTCGCTCCCCAGTGACACCATGCGCACGGAAGTCATTAAAAAAAAACTGAAGAAATACAAAAACCTATTAATCAGATTTTAACCGAAAGATTTTTTTTTTAATATAGTTAACTGGTTCCAAGCCCGTTTGGTAGGGTCTTTGAGTCGTCCTGTAAAATCATTTTATTTTTCTCTTCCTGTTTAAATGTGGCTATTACTTTTACAGCAGATGAGACATACCTCTTTGTTTATTCCAGCTTCCGTGAGCAATTAGTTTCTAAAGGCCGAGATATACAGTAAAAGGTCCGCGGGTTTCTTTTTTCTTTTTTATGCGGGTACTAATAACGAGGGAGAGAAGTTTTAAGAAAACCCATTAAGATCGCATCAGGTTTAAACTACGGTTCTGTGAGTTGTCGCGTCTTTTTTTTTAACTCTACTTTATCCCAATTAATGTCTGTAGAAGACGCATCAAAACAGACGGCATATGTTCCGAATGAATTACTTCGCTAATGAACTGTTCGGGTAGAGGCTCTGCATGCCATACGCAGCGCTGGATCGAAAGCCTGAGACAACTATACAAAAGTATCAACGTCCTGACCTAGAAAGAGTAAACATTTAAGCTAGCATAAAACGTCTGCGTAGGTAACTGTCAAACTCTGTCAAAAAACAAAGCAAACCAAATTTTGTTTCTACAAGATGTCCTGAATTATGGGGTAGTCTTAGTCTGCGGTCGTTTCATTATGCTTTCTTTCTTTCTCTCTTGCTTATTTTTTTTTTCTTTTTTTGGCTGGAAGCCAAGAGGAACGTTGGAGCCATATTGTCGTTAAAACCTCCACGCGTCTTCATTACTGGAAATCGGACGCTCTGGAAGGCACAGCTTAGCGAACGAAACGTTTCGTGGATCCCCTAAAAAGAGGAAGCTTTATGGCAGTTTCTATTGGCGTAAACGTCAAAAGAGAAAGTAAACGGCCATATTATGCTCGTTAGCCTTAGCGTCCTGTGCTCAGCTTGAGCACCGAACACACCCTCCGAACTGCATGCTAAGATTACATTGAAATGCACTGCCGCCTCGGATAAAAAAAGTTTCTCTGAGCGTGGCTCTCCGCTTGACCGATGAGATAAGAGCGCCTTGCATTGTTTCCTTGCGTTCTTCTTGATTACAGATTTTCTTATAATGATTCTCGCCAGCGCCATCTAATGCTGAAGATAGCGCTGGCAATGAGTTCACCTTGGCATTGCGCTAAGTCAGTATGAACGTTTTTGACATTGGAATCGATAAATAAGAAAAAAGGTCGTATACCCTTTATGTATGCATTAGAAAAAACAATATTTTCTTTCAGATGTTTTGGTTTTATTCCTTCGTAGACGAGGTCAAGTGCGCTGCGGATGTAATCTTCCAATGTATGAACGATGACATGATACGAAGAGGCAGTGAAGGTGGCACAGGAAGCAGCTGTAAAAGAGGAACATGTGGTATTACATTACAGTATAATCATAGTTCACCGTGTGGAAATACGGCAACCGAAATAAAGCGAAACGCGGCAAGTATGGAATACCAATGAAATAACATTAAAAATAATAGTAAACTAAAAAAGGGTAATGCGGAATAGTTGAAAACAGAGATTTCTCGTGATAACAAGGAGTCCGCTGAAGCTTCCTATAAAAGCCCGGAGGACCACGCCGTGATGGTGTTACCCTCACACAGGCTCTGGTTCACCACTGGACGGAAGGCAACTGCACTGGCAAGTGCAGCAAGTGCAAAAAGACCATCAAGAGCTACAACGGCATCACGGGCCTCCACTGTCGCTGGTGTCAGATGACGGTGAGTTAGATCGTGTAGAATGTCGCCACGCTGCCGTCTAAAAGAAGACGCATGGTTTCGACAAGCTAAGAACACTGTTCGAACGGTAAAGCCGCTTGTAATTTGAGAAGGCGCGTTTTGATAATTCTTACTCCTCTCTTAAACTCAGAAAAGATTTTTATAGTATTTAATAATCTTCGAATAAGATAAGAAGGAAACAGAGGTTATTAGGAAACTTTAGAATAACGTACGCCATTTTAGCGCACGCTAGCGCTAAATTTAGCGCTTGCGTTAGCGCACGCGACGCAAGAGAGTTTTAGGATAGCGTTTCTCCGCCGCTATGCAATAACTCAAGCATCTCGCGCGTGCGAGATGCTTGGGCTTTTGTAACTTGTGAAGAAACAAGTTTTCTTAGGCCAGCGTAACATTTCATTTTGTTTAAATATTAGAATGCAACGGGGAGCGGTCGACCGGTCGTATCCGCTTGCGTCGCCTCGACAAGAGACGTCTCGCACACCGTGTACCCTCGCCGAGAAATGTTCGCACGTCGCAAGCAGCAAGGGGCCAGCGATCGTTGCCCACCTTGCTGGATCTTCCAAAGCGTTTGTGACGTGCACCTTTTGTAGGAGTGCAATGTGGTCTTGTGTTGGAAATCCCAGTCGCGAGGATGCCGTCGACGTCGCGCTCACGACGCCGCCTAAGCGGCCGCAGCCGCGGTCCTGGGCGCCGCCATTTTTTAACAGCGCTCGTCTTGGCTTTAGCCAACTTCCCATCACAAGTCCTCCTTGGAGGTGTGCAAAGACTCTTTGCGTACGTACGCTATTTCCGAAAAATAACGTGCGCCAAATTAGCGCACGCAAAGCGCAAACCGCAGTTAGCGTTGGACACGTGCGCAGCCGCGACGACGCTATTATTTGTGTACGCAAAGCTTTTGCGCGCGTATTCTAAAACTGTGATGCCCTGTAATGACTAGAATTTCAGGCCCTTTAGCGCACGTGTGAACTCAAACAAGTTTTAAGACTGATGAAGAACGACTCGTTGGGCCAAGAGTGTTCTTTCTAGTCACACGACGTGCAATTATAAGTAAGGTGCCCATAATGTGCGGTCATTTAACAAGTTCGGCAATGGCCTTTTCTTTTAATTTGTCGATTGACGAAGGTATAGACGTTTTAAACACAAGCCAGATTGAGCCGCCATGGCCGATCTTCTCTCGTCTTACTGAGATACGGAGCCACTAAAGCGGGCCTTTGACGAGCCTCTAGAAAGGCCTATGCTGAGGAGAAGGACAGAGCGAACGGAATAAGAGGAATCAAGACACTGAAGGTCAGTAATGGCGGCACCCATGCGCAGCCGTCTGAAAGCGTCTGTACTCAGGGACTACTTTTTTTCTCGCATTCCCGTCAATGTTAAGAGCGCGCGAGCGCAGCTGTGGTCGGCGCTCGAGGTGCGCGAGCGCACGGGTGCCCGTAGCTTTGGCTTCACTGCCAAGAAAAGTCGTCCGCGAAACTTCCATCAAGAATACTCGTTATCCGCGAACCTGCAGGAATGTGGTACACCTCTCAAGCCGCAGAGACACTGCGCATACGTCATACAACAGCCACGGTGTCCCTCGCAGACATGATGACAAAGCTATCAACGGACCTGCCTCAAGCACGATCGAAGCACGTTCGCTTCGTGCATGTTTCGAACAAGTCTGCAGTCAGTTCTAGTGACTAATATGACCGTCGTACAAGCAAGAAACATGCCCCAGACAGTGTCTGTAGACTGTCTTTTGCACGGTACGTTAGCGATGTGACGGCGGTTTAACTGGCACCACGCGCCGCTTTATCTTGCGAGAGATCTTCGCCGCTCGCTCAAAACTTCGTGTCCTTCGAAATGCGACGCCTTGTATTCATACACACAGACACGTTGACTCGGTCATTCGAAGCGCGGAGCTCCCTTATCCTTCGTCACGGGATACGGTAATGGGGTCAATTAACGCCGAAGCCCCGACGTCTCCGAGCCGAGCTCGGGTGCGCGACGCTCCCAGTTCGGTGTCGGCAAATATCTCTCCGGGGAGTCGGCCTACATCGCCGGCTCCGACGACATTGACGCACGGTGTGTAGGCACGTGGGGTGATTTGTGGCGTGCCGTGCTGCGACACGGGACGGCGTTCTCGCTTCCATCCTGGAAGTGCACGACAGGAAACGATGCCTCTCGCGTCGCCGGGTGATTTACTTTTGCTACTTGCGGGGCGCCCGAATTTTTGTTTGGCTGTCAGCGAATGTGAAAATAGGAGACCCTCCCATCGCGCAGCAGCGAGGTTATACGGCTCGTTAATGGCGGCATCTCAGTCGAAGTGAACGTTTTTTTTTGTTTTGTTTTTTTATTATTTTGTATGGCTTTAGTTGCGGAAAATATTTACAAAAACATTACACTCTTGATTTTGTTCCATGTACTTACTGCACATCATTTTAGTAGTTGGAGTACTTTGTTGTGAACAGAAGAGCCAAAAGTGTGCCCTTACTCGTTTGGTGATTGTTTTGGTTCAGGTTGTGCCAGCTATAGTATAGGACTGGGCGTTCATCACACTTCAAAAAAACGTAGTCCCTTCAGAAGTCATCCAACATAAACTCTGTTTCTTTTATTAAAATAAAATTGTAATTTTTTTTTTTTTTTAGCGGGAGTATTTTAAAACTTGTTAGCAGTAGTTTTAAACATGCTGAGGAGACCCGTACCGACACTGCTATTGTTGCTTAAAGCAATAGCAGTCAATAGTTATCGTGGCATTACCTATAGATGCTGGGACAACTTAAAGGGCGATTTGCCAGCGTTATTGTGCTAACCTCGAGAAGTGCCCACATGTATCCTTTTATGCACAACGTACTGAGCACCACTTATTTCGATAGTTAGAAGGGCCTATGCTTCGTTTTACGATTATATTAAAATGCAGCCCGTGCTACGCCCCAATTTGCCAATAAGTGGCGCCAAAATATTGCTAAATTAATGCGTTTTCGTTTTTATTATATTTTTCTTAATTCGGCTATTGTTTTTTTTTTTTTGTTTTTTCTTGAGGGAAGGGGGGTGCGGAATTAGTTTTAGGTATTTTTTTATTAATGTTTTTACTCTAAAAGATATATATTTTGTAGTATATGTGCGGTATGTTTTTCGGTGCTATATGTGCGATATAAAAGGTAACGATCCGGAATTTATGAAATCGAACCTTAAATTTGACGAGGTAAAGGCTCTCATTCTGACGTGCTTGAAATAACTCACTGGTGTCATTGTTCTAAAAAAAACATAAACAAAAATTAAGAGATGAAGTTTTGTCTGAACTTCTTTCCAGCTTCACAACCATTGTGCACCGCAAGTCAAGCCAGACTGCGCGCTTGGACCACACCGAGACCATATCCTACCGCCGACATCTATATGCCCTGCAGTTCTGGTACGTTTCTGAACATGTTTTAGTTTTTATATATATATCTTAGACATAGCTTCTTTGGGGGAAAAGTTTAATTAATCCGTGCACGCTTAATCCGCAGAGCCGAATAATCGTTCGCCGAAAGTGTAATGTTCATTTTATGCGGGAATGGACAAAACGACAAAATTGCCGTGCAAGGACCTTCTCCGAATGGGACTACGGTTTTCGTGTCGGTTCTTGCTCGGATGCGAGCTGCGTCGCGTGCAGGTAGTAAGGTAAAAGAGCGGAAAAGACATGGCAATGCAGGAAGTGTAGTGTTGCAAAAGCTAAAGAAAAGCGGAACTGAAATATGCATCGGAATCTGGCATTTTGAATGAGCTAGCAGGCATTAATAAAAGCTGGGGGGAATCATGGAAATGAACGAAATGTGGGACACCTTCACGTCCATTAAAAACACCGTAGTAGGCATTGAAACCGCAGTACAGCGAATGCCCGATAAGTATGATGACGTACTCAAAGAGGTGAATGGCCAAGCCAAAGGAATTACTGACATCAAAAAAGGACTTGACTCGGTCGAGGCCGGAAGCAGTTAAAATAAAATGGACAGGTTGAAAGAGGAGACAAATAACCTGGAACCGTACAACCGGAGATAGAACTTGGAGGTGCATGGGCTGCTGCAAACCGAAAATGAGAATCTACTTTGTAGGCTTAACGATCTCGCAAAAGATCTCGAGCGTAACTGACCCATCAAGGTTTAGATGGTCAACGACTTCCTGATAAACCGGGAAAGTTCCGGGTGTGCAAGATCGCTTTGCTGCTCAAATAACGAGAGAGGCGAAAAGAAACGCCAAGATGCAAGAATCAGTAATACGTTTTAACCTGACTTCGCAAAACAAGGGGATTCTACGGTTAATCAGGGTCCGTGCTCAGGAAAATTGATATCAGTTTGCATAGCAAAAAATTCACTAAATTTTCGTTCGTAAAATGCAAGGTGATTGAGTTATCAGGATCGACAATGAAGACGACCTTGATAAAATACGTTGAGTGTTCCGTTGCTTGGAGTGATACATTGTGTTATCTTCTATTTTTCTTTTGTGTCAAGTTCGACGGGAGGCGGTGCTGTGTCGTCCAAATTTTAATGCGAAAGCATTAACTCTCCCATAGAGCGCAGCCGGCGTTGTCTGTAACCACGAAAAACAGCACTTAGTCCCATTGGCTGAGTGTAACGACACCTAAATGCCCATTGGCTGAGCGAAGCGGCACATAAATGCAAGTCATCAACCACGGGCGTTCAGAAATAAAACACAAAGAAAAGCACAGCAATGCAGATGGTTCGTCACGGAAGCCGACGGGAGCGCTCAAGGTCAAAGCGAACGCGCCTCAGGGAGAAAACACAAAGAAAAGCGCAGCAACGCAGATGCATCGCCACGGAAGCCGTGGAGCCGGCGGGGTTCGCCGCGCCTGCGCAGTGGTGGAGCACGATGTCACTGCCGGAGCGCCGTGCGCGATAGGAATATGTGGCGCGCTGCTTGTAGGAATGCTCTCGCATTCCTATACGTAAGCAGTCTTAAGTGTTTCTGCCGAATTTTTGTCCCTATTCTCAAGGTTGTTATTTGTTTGTTTGTTTTTTCTAATGCGTTACCATTAATACTTACATGACAGGGAAAAGCTGACGGCGTTCGTCTGCGGACGAAACGGTGGAAAGGGAAGCGCGCTGCGTAGAGAGGAGGAGAGTAATGAAGGACAAAAGCGAGAGGGAAGTGACGTCAGCCTTTGCCCTTCTAAAATTGTTGCATCGCCCCTTTACAGCGCGTGATTCTTTGTTTGAAACACCCGTATATCGATGGGGAGTTAAGTTTTTCATTGTTAGTTCCTACCAATAGGAACATCGTGGGGGGGGGGGGGGGGTATTGCACCCTCTTGACGTTTAGGTTCTCCATTGGTTCAGACCATGGACGTCATCAACAATAGAAAATGTTCTCAAAATTCTTAACTACTTTCACCTATTACGTTCAAAATGCATCAGATTTCATTTATACTTTATTTTTTTTATATGTTGCTAGAGTCCTACTTAATAGTTCGAGCGAACGCGATGCAAATTTAAAAAAAAAATGGTCAGAAACGCTTTGCAGGGCCCCTTTAAAAGGACATAGTAGTTATGTTTCAGAAAACTTAATTATGCCTTGCGCTACTCAGTGACACTTAACCTTTGAGAGGACCACAAAAGAAAAAATTCGGCAGAGACACTTAGGATTACTTGCGCGTAGGAATGCGAAAGCATTCCTACACATAGCGCATTCCTACAAGCAGCGCGCCACGTCTTCCTTTTTCACACGGCGCTCCGGTGATGACGACGGCTTTCGTGACCAAGCATCCGCGTTGCTGTGCTCTTTTTTTGTGTGTATTATTTCTGAGAAGCGTGCTTGATGACGTATTGATGTGAGCATCGTTCGGGCACAACGTCGCCGCTCTTTCGTGTAATGGGACAAGTAAGGCTTTCAAAAGCGCGTGGAAATCCGCATCTCAAGGCATCGTCGTCTATCCCCCGTTTCAGGAGCAAAAACTTGATGAAGCGCGAACGTTACGGCTCCCGTGAACCAATCAGAGCGAAGCTAAAGCAATTCAGATGACAGTTCTCTATAGAAGGATTTCTGTCCGACGGCGCGCTGTCACCTGCCTTTCTCTCTGGCGCTTTGATTGGCTCGCTGGAGTTGTGACTTTGACCGTTTGCCAGCTTCGGCGGAAACAGAGATCCTATGGGGGTCCACGCGAGCCAATACTCGCAACAGATAACCATTATATAAGGCTCCCAGTCAGCCGTCTCTATGGAAGTGCCAATCTTTTAGCCTTTTCCTGTTTGAGTTTTGGTAACTCGTGCTGCAACATCCTAAAATCTCTACTAATAAATGCGACCCAATACTTTATTTATTAAACTTATAAAAGCTATGGTACGTTTGGCCAATGGGTGTGCCAGCTGAAATTATTATTTCAAAATAGCGTAATAATCTAACCTCGTAATTTTTTGTGAATTGTCGCGTAATGCTAGCTAGCTCTATGGTGTCCTCCAAAAATTGCCACGTTGAAAAATAAAGTTGTATCTCATGTGATCTCGAAGTATTTTAGCTGTGAAAAACAAAATAAGCATTTTTTATACAGTATTATCATACCCCCGCCGCAAAAACTATATGGAGTAATAAATTTTGTGCAGTTCGGTAAAATTATGTGCGTAAATTGTCGTGCTTCGTACCTCTCAATAGGAGCGGCAACGAAGTGTCACCAGTGGTCAGAAGAAAGCTTTGTCCCGAACGGATTCCAACATGGCTTCCGAAAGCAACCAAGGCAGTGTAAGTATAGTTACCTTTCTACACGTCACCTAGCAGATCACACAGTAGAAATGACAAAAAACTCAACTGATTTTTATAATAAACTTAGCTTATATGATCAACTAGAAGCGCAAGTGCAGCATAAGACAGAGTTACAACATACTCCTCTGTTTTCTTCGTTTTTCTCATACGTCAAAATATGGATTATTTTTGGTAAAATTTGGCGTTAGAAACTAGACTCCATAATGCAATATAAAAAAGCGCCAATGTCATGTTTGGAAAATTTTGTCGAAAAACTCTACAATTACCGTATTAAAATGGGTGCTATAGCACTGTCCCCGAGTATGTATAATGATCCCCGTAGAAAATTGCATAACTCTTGAGTCTTATGCATGTGTAGAGGTCAAATATTTATTTCATCACTTTTAATCTGTGACAGTTTTGTCGCCGTTGTTGTAATCTAGTTGAGTTTACATCTGAGCAATCCCCTGAATGCTATAATAATGGGGCCTTTCTCACGCCCTAACTCGAACAGAAAGAAACTCATTCCTCAAACTGACCCACCCCGCTTCTGTAAGTGTAATAAAATAAAAAATCACGGTTTTTTCGAAATCCAAACTTTATAATTTAGTTAACAAGTAATTGCACATACGATTAGGTAAGGTAAATTTAATATAATTGCTTATTGACCATAATTCCAGGCAAAATGTGAAATCATTACTCTCTTAAGACTTTTCATTTGGCATGCAAAACTTAAACAATGTTACATAAATAATGTTACAGATAGAGTATGAGCAAGTGGTGTTTATTTTGCACAGGTTTCTGCAATGTCATTCCAAGTCACACCCGTTACCGGAACACATCCCCTCTTAGTTTTAATCAACCCCAAAAGTGGTGGTCGACAGGGTATGAGGTAAGGCATCTTGCTCGAGAACTTCCACCTTTGATAAAGGCAAGATGATTCTGCAAGAATCACTTACTTGGCTGGAATCGGTTTTCTTACTGATTAGGCAATAACAGCACTCACGTTTCAAGCACTACGTGATAATTAGAATAATTTTAATAAAGTGTGTATATTTAAAATATTGTGCTCTTATTCAGAGAAGATATTTTCAGCTAGCTCATTGGTGAACTTCCGTTTGCAACAATAAAACAATACATATATGTTTATGGTAATAGTTCTTGATGATGGATCACGTGCACGTGCATATAATCCAGGTGCTGATAATCTGTCACCAATAGCTTGGTGTAACCAACTGTGATCACTTAAAACCTTTCTTTTTCTCCGAGCTTTATTTTAAATCTCACGTATTTTTAGTCGTGAATGTCCAGCTAACGTTATGCACTGTCATATATTGAAGCTTTCTAGAAAAAATTATGTTACTTGAATTTCAGGATACTGAGGAAGTTTCAGTACTTACTAAATCCTCGACAAGTGTACAATGTTTCCAAAGGGGGACCAATCCAAGGGTGAGACATCCTTATTAAGATGAAGATCTATGGTTTTAGATATTATTGCTATTCTGCCCTGTGTAAAACCTTATATTTTATAGATTACAGTTTTTCAAGGATGTTGTAAGCTATCGAGTGCTATGCTGTGGTGGAGATGGCACCGTGGGCTGGGTGCTAGATACAATTGGTGGGTATCTAACTTTGTAATGTTGCTTGCAAAACGTTGACCGACTTTGCCAGAAACCAAACGTTCTTCATTCTTCAGACAAGCTCAACTACACCCAGCTTCCACCGGTCGGAATCCTTCCCTTGGGAACTGGGAATGACTTGGCACGGTGCCTGCGGTGGGGACCAGGTTAGTCACAACGTTCTTACTATAATACTGTTACAAATGTAATCGTTACAAGCTTATTTATGTCCATGGTACCCTAAGGGTAAAGTGGCTTGCTCGCCATCACCTGGAGTGTGCAAATTACACAAGACTTATTCTTCAAACGTGCATATAAAAAAAAAGAAATGCCTTTTCTAAAGCTAAACTAGATTGAAAGTGAATTAAATATTTTTATAGTCTGCCTCTTGATATAATAAAGCTTAAGTTAAGTACTTTGTCCTTTTATTTCAGGTTATGAGAGTGAAAGCCTCGAGAAAATTCTTCAAAAAGTTGAGAAATCAACAACGGTTATGATGGACCGATGGAAAATTGACATTAGCAACATGGCCAACTCAGACGAGCGTGGAGATCCTATCCCTTGCAACATCTTCAACAACTATTTTTCCATTGGTGTGGTAAGTTTGTATATGTTGCCTTAGCTTGTTAGACCTAAAAGAAATTAACAGTGGCTCGATCTGTAAGGTTAGTTTCAGTTTTGGTTAAGTTGAAAATATGAAGACTGAGGCACCGTCTAGAAGAGTATAAGGCATGCACGTTCTAAGTTATTCCCTGAAATAGCATAAGTACTTTCAAAATCTTCTATGAAAGGTGGCTTAGCTTTTTTATCATTTGTTAAACGAGACACTTGAAAAATCCAATGATAACATGAACGCTGCTGTGAAACTGCATCAATATCATTTGGCGGGCTGGCTGATTCGAACATGTTAAGATATGAAATAGCGCGATAAGGAGAGAAAACGTAGAGGGAGACAGGGCAGAGCGCTACTAACAACTGACGTTTAATGCTATAGACAAAGAGAGACGAAGATAAAGTAAAGAATAATTTATTGGGAAAAAAACAAAGAATGAAACAAATTCATAATGTTAAAATTAAAATTAAAATAGGCCCCTCCCCAACAAAAACCTTAAATAAAATTAGCTAAACAAAAAATAAGGTAATACCTTGGTCTTTTTGTAATAACGCCACTGACGGTGCGCTGATGCAGACCTTATCTTTGGACAAGATGACTTGCGCCTCGTACAATTCTCGAGTGTTTTTTTTTTTTTTTTTAATTAAAACGTTTTAGGGTTCTGATGTCGCCAAGGATAGGTGTGCATTAGCAATCTCTTTCTTGCACAACGAGGTGCCCCGCCGGTTTCGGTTCGAGTGCAAGAGCGTGTTCTTTTAAACGTTCAATCACACACCGCCCCGATTACCCTACATACACTCTTCTGCAGGTAAATGATATTTCATATGGTACACCACACTGGCAGTCGACATATTTGCGCTGATGTTGCACATCTCATCTTGTCTGATGAAGCTGATGGTTATTCATCTTCGAGCATAGTCTCTTTAGTTTATCCAGTGCCGATAAAACAACCTGGGCATCAAACTTTGATGTCATTTTCTTTGGGTTGTGTGATAAACGATGAATGTACAGTCTCCGGCGATATGAAAGACCCACTGGGAGCGCGTGGCCGAGGCAGTGGCTGGCGGGGGCGCTACGAGCGCTCCGGGCAATTCCATTCTGCTTCGAGGGGAGGACGCTCACTCGGAGCTCAGCACAAACTGATAAGCGCGTGCTTTAGCTGAGCCCCGAGTGAGCGTCCTCCCCTCGAAGCAGAACGGAACTGCCCGGAGCGCTCGCAGCGCCCCCGCCAGCCACCGCCTCGGCCACGCGCTCCCAGTGGGTCTTTCATATCGTCGGAGACTGTACGGCAGAATAACTGGCCGGCGTTTTTTTGTCCTCTCGCCTTATGCTTGTTGAGAATAAACATTCAGCAACGTCATATAGGATGAAGCTCTAACGTGATGCCTTAAAGGGACACTGACAGGTCAAAATCATTTTTTATTATTATTCGAGGCGATTGAAAACGATACCTAGATATTACCCTCAGAATTCGAAACTTGGGAACTCAGTTTTTATTTTATTTTTATTTTTATAATACATACTGCAGGCCTTGAACAGCCCCCAGCAGGTGTAAGATACATTCAAACAACAAAACTATACATGTAATAAACTAGAAACAGATGGCAACCATATATTGCTTGTACAAGGACAAATATATATATATATATATATATATATATATATAAACGCCATCAGGCATGATAAACATTCCTTAATCAACGCCTAATATAAAATAAAAAATGAATGCACAAACACTAGGAAGGCAGGACATTCAAAAGGTGTGGTTCTCAACAGCACCATTGAAGTTGGGCGCAAAACAAAATCTCACGAGGAAGGGCGTTTCAGTCCGTGATAGTGCGTGGGAAACAGGAATGCTAAAAAATGTTAGTTCGAGCAAATATTGGTACCAGGGAATACTAATGATGGTGCCTAGTTTCCCTAAATGACGATGGGGATAAATATAGGCATGAATCAAAGCGGTGCCTGGTATGATAAAGCAAAGACAAAAATGTTAGTTTCGCAATTTTTCGACAATGCTAGATTGATGATATATTGTTTGCCATCATTATTGAAGATAGGGAACCTAACTGATTATACTTTCCATAGATGAAGGCAATAGCTCTCCTCTGAATCATCTCAAACTGTGACGCATCTTTTTTTGGTGTTCCGGTCCCATACTATGTCAGCATATTCTAACTTCGGTCAGACCAAGGAGTTATACGCTTGCCATTTAACGGAAGCTAAAAAGACAATTTCCCAACGCCAAATGTAAAATTCCCTCGCGATCCGCGCCAGTGCAGTGCAACTCGGGTTCCTCTCAAGCCTCCGAGCCGTCCCGACCCGAAGTGTCGATCGTGTTCGCCAGTGTCCCGCGATCAACCGCTCTTCTCCGTGCCTGTCGCCTATCGCTGTGAGCAGACGACGCGTCACTCTCAAGTTTAAGGTTCTCTTAGGGCCCTTTCAGCGATCTTACATTATTTGAAACGGGTAAGGTCGAAGAGAACGCGCAGTGCACTTCTGTGGGCGACGTGAGGGACTACGTCGCGCCGGTTCTGCGTGAAAGGCTCTTCCGGCGGAGTCACAACCAAAACTACGGTGCACAGACACCAAATCCAGTTGTTTTGACCGTTTGACGATTTCCTTTTCGAAGTCTGAGAGGTTGTCGGGCACCTAAAAAAGAGAGCTTCGCCCTATTTTCCGACTCACCGATCATCCTCAGTGCTACATGTGCCGAGCGCCGCCAGTGCCGCCATTTTTTCGAGGAAAGATAAAAAGCCTGGAGGCGACATCACTCCGGACTCTGATTTTTGGTATTTCAAAATTAATTGCCGTAATGCTTTCGCAACTGCGTTAAAAAAACATGTTTTACGCATGCCGTTACTATATATCGAAAAAATGTCGCTTACAGAGCTTCTAAATTTAATAGTTTTTGACGTCACAAATAAAAAGAAGCGAGGAGGTGAAAACAGGGATAAAAAAAAACGCCAAAAGTAAAAAAACGCGCGCGCGCGCGCGGGGGAATCTTTTTTTTTTTTTTTTTTTTTTTTTTCGGGTTGTGGTATTTTTTGTATTTATTACAACAACTAGCATCGTTTTAGAGACCAACAAAAAAATACGACCTTTGGGGTGTCACTACCCCTTTAAGTATTTGAACTTGAGCATTAGACGTTTATCTGCTATATGGGCACAAGATTTCTTTAAGCACTCAGGCAACCTTTCACGATTCCTTTTTTTATTAGCTTGGAAGGGGCTGAGTCATACTGTACCAGGCCTTTCTAAGATCGTAGGAAATATTTCCAACATGAATGATTATCAAAAAAACTCCAGTAATAGATCTAAAAACGGTAGGTTCGAGTTTGTTGGTAACTCATATGTGTGCATTTGAAACCTTGGCCTTCTTCAATGAAGGTAGATCGTAATGGTTTGACTATATGTTTTTCATTCTCATCCGGACGGTGTTGAAGGAGAACGAGATAATCATCCAAATATCTAAAAATGTGAGATACCTGGCCTGTGGAAAGTGTAGCGGCTATCGCCCGATCACATCGTGAGCGGAATATATCGCATAGGACTAGTGCCACGCACCATTCAATGCAGATTCCTTCCTTTTGTAGGTAGGACTTGCTTTCAAACGCCATTTTTACGTTTCCTCTCCGTGTCGGGTTATCCCGTATCTTAATAACCTACGTGAAACATTGCGTGAATTCAGATAATTTCTGAATTATAAAAAGTGAATTTAATATAACAAAGATGAAGGCTCATTATGGTTCCGCTTTTACAGAACGATATAAATTCGGTTCAAAATTTTGTATGTGCTGTAATGTTCACTGCTAATGCTTGCGTTGTCTAAGCATACGGCTTCAAACACAGGATTCCGGAATAAACTAGTTCCCTATCGGTCCACCATCGCGTGTTTATTTAAACGTGTTTGCGAAGGGCGGAAAAAGTTTCACCATTAATTCTTTTCAGATCCCAGTTTTGATCATTTATGCTGAAGTAAGAAGCTTAATGCCTTTTCTTGTTGGTGTCGACCTTTTTCAGGACGCTTCTATTGCAATTAAATTCCACCTTGAAAGGGAAAAACATCCAGAAAAATTCAGCAGCAGGTAATATTAATTTATATATATTTTTCAATGCCCATCTTTTCTTGTTCTCGTTTATAATAACTTTAAATTGAAATTTTTAAACTATAGTCATTTCATGAAACAAGATACTCCATGGTGCATCAGCTGTAAGAAAGAAAAAGATAAATAAATATGGGGAAGAAATAAGCGTATTGCAATAAATACAGTGATGGCTTGTTGGCTGTGACAAAGGGATATAATTTGCTGATCTTACTTTGAAGTAGAATTCGTAAATATATAGAAAGTTAAAATGTTACGTTATGTTAAACTAATCCTTCAACTAGTTGTGTGCATGTTATTTAGATACTCCACTAATAAAAACTCAGAACTATAATATAACTACGATGCCCGAGTTAACACCACGCAAACAAATATAGCAAGAGAGTCATTGTTAGACGGAGTAGGGAGAGGAAATTGAAAATATCAGTGGCCGTTGTTACTTTGGTTCTTCCTTACGACCGATAAATATTGTGTTTCTTTTTTTTTAATATTAGAATGAAGAACAAAATGTGGTATTTCGAGTTTGCCACATCTGAGACCTTCTTTGCCACCTGCAAGAATCTCCATGATGATGTGGACATAATGGTATGCATTCTAGTGTTCTCACACTTTTAAGTGCTTTTTCGCGCCTAACATTTCTGCCCCTTCCATTCTTCCTTCAAAAATATCGAACGTTTATTGAAGCTCGTCTAGTTAGGATTAATGAAATCATTAAAGTTATTATATTATATAAAAATTTAATTGACATCTATTAGAATGGACATTCTGGCGGATTGGTAAGAGATCATAGTGAAAAATAACGCGACTGGAATGAGGACAAGAGGGATACATACGACGAACGCCAAGTATAGCAACTGAAACCTTATTAGAACAGAAACACAAAATTTACGATGATGATCGAGCAGGCACTGGCACGACGTGGTCTTCAAACATGTATTTCTTCACCTAAAGTGCTAACCCAAATCAAAAAAATTTATCTCGTTGTCTGTAAGGGTCAGTGGCATATTTGGCCTACGCACGTGGACTTTTTTTTTTATATGGTACGTTTTAATTATCTCCCGGGACAATTGATCCTTTTGTTGGAACAACACTGTTGTGTCGTTGAAACGTGGTTTGCACCCGCAACCGCAAAAAGGGGTCGCATCAAGATGTGAAGTGCATGTTATATTTTTTTTTCGCTCGCAAAAAAATAAGCCGAGTATGCTCTGCCGTGAAAAAACGGACTGGCAAAGAAACTCCATCGAACCGTAGTGGATGTGACATGAAAAAAACGGTATGAAGTTCGTGTCCTCCTTAAAAGGAGCGGTCTACACGATCACGTTCTTTCGTGGCCCTTGATATATAAAGCAAACCGGGCGATTCATGAACCTCCGACTCCGATAACACCGCAGCTCAATGAAAGGAACTACTTCCTCGCATTTAGGGACGCATTACCGGGATTGCTGGTGCAAACCATGTTTCACCGACAGAGTAGTGTTGTTCCAACACAAAAACTAATTGTTTCGGAAGATAATTGAAACCTACCATATAACAAAATTGCTGAGAAAACCACTATTATTTGTTGTCTATGAATTGCGATAGCATTCGTCTAAGACAACTTCAAGAATTACATGAAAGACGACGTCTATGACGACATCAAGGGTGATCTCAAGGACGGCCTCTATGACAACATCAAGGACGACGTCTAGAACGACCTCTACGGCGATCTAAAGGACCACCTCTAGGACGACCTTTAGGGCGACGTCCTAAATGACGACGTCAAAGAGTCTAGGACAACCTCTACGACGACCTCAGGGACGACGTCGGGGACGACGTCAAAAGACTTCTAGGACGACCTCTAGCGGTTATCTTTCGAAGAGGGTGGAAATGTGAAGGAGTGTGAGAGAAAAAAAATTTGGTTGTGTGTATGTTTATACAGCCTAGAACTTGGTCTGCCTCAACGGGCGACGAGTCTCCCGTTGAGAGATGAGAAATTTTGCTAGTGCAGTACATCCGCTAGCCTGGGGGCTTTAACGTGCATCACGCAGTAGTGATACACGACCGTACGCCTTTACGATGCCCATTCAGATCGAAACGGACAGGGGTGGGGTTTTAACCTTGGATCCTGGATTCTACAGCGAGCTTTCGCTAAGGAGTTTAAGAATGTGAGCAGAAATGTTCTACTCCGCATATCTACCGAAAGATTAGGAGGCCAGAAAGTCAAAGAAGTCCGGGGGGGGTGGCTAGAGAATGCTATTGAAAGAAAACAAATCCACGTGCACAAGCCAACCATCACTGACCCTTACAAACAGTGAGATATATATTTTTTATTATTATTATTTTGAGGTGAACAATGACGTGTTTGAAGTTTACGTCGTGCCAGTGCCTGCTCGAGCATCAGCGTCAATTTCGTGTTTCTGTTTTAATAAGATTTCAGTCGCTAGTCAGTGCTTGTATCGCTCTTTGTCCTAGTCCCAGTCACGCTGTGTTTCCCTGTGAGGTTAATTGAGTGTTTTTCATTTCTTCTACAATATATACGGGGGCCGAAAAGTTGTTTCGTAACACATTCCAGGTTTAACTATGAAGGCCTCTAGAAGATTCTTTTGGTGACATCATTCTGTGGCACGACTCGTTTTGCGTCTTTAACTCATCGCACAAAAAAAACTTTGCGACACATGGCACTCACCGCATGCATGCTGCTAAGCAACATAGCTTATAATTGCTCCCCGCTTTGCGCAGTGTGACGGTGTGTCCCTGGAGCTGTCCAACGGCCCTTCGCTGCAGGGCATCGCAGTGCTCAACATCCCGAGCATCTATGGCGGCTCCAACCTTTGGGGTGACAATGCCGCCTCACGCAAGCGGTCCCGATCTAAAAAGCGCAAAAAGCACGACAGAGACATTTCTACGAATAGCTTCAACTCAGTTGATCTCAGCAGTGCTGTGCAAGGTGAGCATCTGTGGTAGAAACTATTGTAGGAGATTCTTATTGCTGGAAATATTTTTACTCGGAGCATTTCAACCCAAGTTTATGGCATATGGTTAGTGATAGCACAGAAATTCCCTTAATAAGGAACTTAATCAAATCATGTTTAGTGGTGTGTTAAACCACCCGTTTTTTTTTTTAATATGGCAACAAAATACTTATGTTTGAAAGAGGGTTTTAATGTGCGATATTGAACTCTGGTTACTTGACTTAAACTGTCCGTATACATTCTTGATTTTACTACCTAAAACATGCGGTCTTAACGGTGATATATGAGTGATAGCTTTCTCCCAGAAATGAAGTAAAACATTTGTGGTGGGACTACCGTAAACGACTTAAATTTCTCAGAACCTAGTTTTTGTAAGTTACGCGACTTTAACATGATAGTAGCAACATTATCACGCGAATATATCACACCATAATAACGGATTCATAGCATACTACTCCCTATCGAGAAATAATGTGCTCGGGAAATATTCCTGAAACCCACGCTTCGCAAAATTCACAAAATATTGAGACCAAAAAATAAAGTCGTTTACAATTTAACACAATAAAACTAGCAATCATAAAATTAAGTATATGAAATACATTACAGTGTCGTCCAAAGCAAGGCTCTAATAAAATTACTAGCTTCATAACCAAAATTTATTTTTATTTTAGGGTGTTTATTTGGCCTCTGCTATCACATTTGTTGTGGGGATAGTTGTTTTGCAACCCGAGTTCACAAACCAAGTGGAGAGGGGGCAAATAGCTGAATGAAGATTCGACATCCAAGCTACTTTCTGTTGCAGAGCTGTGCTTACGTTTCACATATTCACGCCAGTCCTTTATTTTGTGGTCCACTCATCGTTGTGAATAAAAATGCCTCAATTTAATTTATCTTGGCAATGAAAAACCTTATTTGATAAAATAAATTATGAAGACCTGCTCGGATGGCGTGGTTATGTGCAACAAAATGTACCCTCGTGATAAATCTTGTTTTCGGTCAGTCTACAATGCCATGCAAGCCTAAGACACGGGTAGACAATTTTATACGTTTAATAAAAGAAATAACAATATTGTTTAATAAAGCAATCGCTTTCCATTATCGCGTTTGCAGACATCGGAGACCGCATGATTGAGGTGATAGGTCTGGAGAGTAGCATGCACATGGGGCAAGTAAAAGCTGGCCTACGAGCTTCTGGGAGACGACTTGCGCAATGCACATCTGTGGTTATTAGGTTGGTGCCCATTAATTCATTTTACGATTGTTTCTTTTTTTGTATTGTTTATTCTTATTTTTTTTTTGTAACTTTAAAATCAATTAGCATTGTCTTCTGAGATTAATTTCGGTACCTTTTCACTCATCGTTATGAAGTGAAGCTCTAAAATCTTTTATCATCTCAATTTCAGGACGAGGAAAAGGTTTCCCATGCAAATCGACGGCGAACCGTGGGTTCAGCCTCCTTGCACAGTAAGTATTCAGCTCTTCAATTCTCGTCAAATGTTCCCTATCTATATTACTAATATACATTGTTTGTTATTTAGATACAGATCACCCACAAGAACCAGATGCCAATGCTGATGGCACCAGCACCAATGAACAAGTCAAGATTTCCCTTCTTTTCACTTAGAAAGTCGTGATTTTAACTAGACATGTGGTTGATTGTGCCATTAACAGTTCAGTTATGTTTTAGCTCATGCCGCTTTTTTGTCATAATTTATATATTATAATTATTTATTGTGACTGACATCTAGCTTTATGCGTGTAGTTTTGTTTTGTTTGTTTTGTGAGAGCGTATTGGTGTAGAAATTAAGTTAGAGCCCTGGAGAACACGACAGATAAAAGGAAACTGACATTCTCCACAAGGGTGCTTGTGATGTTATTTTGATGCCTTAAAGTTTGATGTTCCATTTAAGTTATGAACATGTTGCACATGTGATCTTAATCTGAATATGATGTCTCATGAGTGTTTTTTTTATTATTCTGAAGTAGATTATGTCAATGCACACATATCCAGCTACAACTGAGCTCACAGTCACCAAAGTCTATGGTCAGTGAAACTCGGACCACTATGTCGGATATTTCTTGTAAGAGAAATGTACTCCACTCCACCGTGTCACGCTTGGCATGCCTTCTTTTGCATCGACATGTGGCAGAATTCTACTGCACTGCATAATATATACTAATAATATGTAGATAATGTGTACAACAAAGCACAGAAATGTCGCTTTCAGTTATACTTATGCTTGTGTACAAGTGCAATTGTTGCTATAGACATCACTTTTTTGTCGGGGGTGTAAATAATGTCCTAATTAAGATCTCCAAGATCTTTGAGGGCATTCAGGCCGGCTGCTGTCCTTTTCCTGTACATTATACTGCATAACTACAGTGTACTGGAATGTCGTTGCTCTCATGTGCTCATAACGTTTCTACTAGGTCTTCATTGCTTACTGCCTATGCGCAGCATCATTACTGATGTTTCTTAATTTCATAACATTGAAAATCATATCTTCGTCAATACACGCATCTTATATCCGTCAGCGCATCTGGCTTCTATGCTTCTCTGTATATCGTGCCTTAGTAAAACAGGTACAAAAATCTTTTTTTTTTGTGTTCATTTTTATGTTTTACTCCAGGCAAATGTTTTTATCTTGCTTTTTCAGAATTCAGTCAAGTGCATACCCCAAACTCTAACTTATATATATATATATATAAAGGCATATTCACACACACGAGCATGTGAGATAGGTATAAAATATACTTATATATCAAGTGCATAATTCAATGACCACATTTTAAATATTGTTCGCTAGTTTTTTGTGTTTTTTTTTTCCCTTTTCGGGTGACGAATTTTTTTCATGCTGTATGTAGAAGGTAGGTTGTTTTATTATTTTCCTTGTAAGCTTTTGCAGCTGCTCATTATTTAACATCAAGGATCTAATATAAGGTCTCGTCTCTGTATGGTATATTCTATGAGTAAATATATTCAAAATGCCCCATAACAGACCTTTGAAATATAGAATAACCTTCTCGGAATATGGTCCTACTGTGTGTGCATACATGATGTTTGTTCATATATGTCCAGTAACAAGTAATGAAGTGTCTTAATACATTAAGATTGCATTACACATCTTTTGTGTGAGAAGTCGTTTATTACAATTTCGGCTGAAGCAAACAGCCAATTTAGCTCAAAGATTTTCGGTCGCGATTCGGAGCAAAGTTTAATAGGAATCATGACTTATATTTATTAAAACTACCGATGTCTCCAAATTTAAAAAAATTAATCTGAAATTCATAATTATACTAGAAGTGCAACGACTGTTTCTGCAGTTCACAAGGCAAATCAAAAAGCGTGCAATATACTGCAACATTTCGGTTAATATTACTTATTTAAGAAAGGTCTAAAGAATGTGCATTTTACAGCTGTGTGTTTATTATTGGTTTAACACCAGTATTTGTTTTCAGTAGGTTACTTTGACCATTTTTTAAACAAATCATAATTCAAAATATGTTTTTTAAAACATACAGCGCTACTAGGAGCTGCATTCTGCATAGCTGGCCATCCAACGAAATTTGTTCAACTTTTAGTTTATAAAAAAAAAAAACCTATTAAGTCAGCCCGTACTAAAGTCGATAGGTAAATACGTATTAGGACAATTGTAGGTATGGCGGTATTTAGTCAGGGTGTATTCAAACAGCTCATTTTAATCACGGGTTCTTTCTAAAAACGGGAGTAAGATCACGTTACGAGTTATACCTTAATCGATCATACTTTGGCGTTGTGTTCTGGGGATAACGACGTTTAATTAAAATGTTCTGGCATTTTTGGAAGTTATATAAAGTGCAGAAGTAGGCAGACAGTTTTGAATCATGACAAACTCTCAGAACATAACCTTGTTTGTGCAGCCCCCCCCCCTTCCTCCTCTCCCCTCACTCCATTCTGGAAATATCCATAAATGTTTAGTGATAATAGTCTAAACAAGCCTCAATGGTAGCAGAGCACGCACCAATGAATCGGAAAATAAACCTGCTGAGAAAGCTGATATTTGCAAGGAACGTTTCGCCATGAGACAGCTTCTTTTCAGGCATAATTGAGATTGTCACAGAGGTTATAAACATGTTACCGATGATCATCTGGTGTATCTGGCCGAAGTTAAGAATCTTGGTGAAACGCTGGCAGCCAAATGAGACTTTTAATGAGGATTCTTGCCGAACTAATGAGAGTTTCACTCGAGTGATGTGTTTTTTTTTTCTCTCGGCATTAATCAAAAACCCGCTTGCTTCCCCCTCTATCGTGTAGAAAGTGCGTCCTGTACATATATAAATACAGACGTGTATGGAACTGTTGCATGTTAGATGCAGAACCAACCACTGTAATTTTTTTTTTTGTTTTCTTGTGTCCAAAAGATACAAACATGAAACTTGCGCTACTTTGATCATACCTGCCGTAGTGGTATTCTGTACACAGTATTGACACTTTCCTATTGTGTGCAATGTATCTTATATACATATTAATACTTGGTAGTGTCTCGTGCAGTGACATGTTGATCGTGCTTTTGTGGCGTTTCTATTGCTCTTCTTCGACACTCCAATAATCGCAGGTTTTTTCCTTCAAACTACAGATCCCGTTCCACACATTTTCTCTGTTGCATGACATTCTCAGTCATTTCCTTCTCTTTTTTAGTTTCGACCCTCTATATTTATTCTACCCCACGACTCACTGTTGCTAGAAAGTGTTGCGTGATGATTCCTGTTTCTGGAATCCAGCTTTTGTGTATGTTAGGCCCAGAGTGGCGTTGTCGCGTATTGACATTGCCTCTATACCTCTTAGTCCGCATTAACAGTGAACCTATTATGATTTACTTCCAACCTACATTGGCGTCCATCGCCGAGATGAACTTTGCTTTTTATTTCTTCTTACATTTCATTGAACTGGATGTTGCAGTTATGAATTTCTACGATGTACGAAAAATATTTGTACATAAGATACTATGGTATATGAAATGTTTCACAATCCAGCTATTTATTTATCGTTTACATGAATAAAAGTATCATATGTTATGACAAAACGCGCGTTGTGAATTGGACCACCCTTATATGTGGGCCTGCGAATTCGCTTTCCTGCAGAGCACGGAGACAGCCAATCACGGCGAAAAATAGAATCCCAGCGAATGACGAAGCGTATAATACAATTAAATATGTAAAATGGCATTAGTGCAGGGTCAATGGGCAAGTGAAACGTCATGTTCACCGTCCATGCGCACATCGCATTTTTATTTTTTGCCCAATCATATCCTGAGCTTCGCCTTTCGCTGGTCCCTCTGTTGCCCACCGTGATTTGTTGTAATATCTCTTTTCAACTATTGCGCGGCTACCAATGTGTAAACACTAGACGGAGAGGGAAAAGTAAGTGCGACTTTTCGGCAAGGCTCACAGTTGTAAAACAAGTAACGTCATAGCCGAACTACAGACCCTTCCAGCATGCAACATCACTAAAAGGTATGGCGTTCGGCGATGGAACGCCGGACCCTGCGCAAGGGGCAGACGAATTCCTTGTTTGCTCTGATTGGAGGGAGACAGTGGGTAGGTACAAAGACAGCTGACCTTTGCGTCCACGTACGAATCAGTCCAATCAGAGGTCGGCGCTAAGACGTCGCCGCACGCTCTCATGCCCTCTAAACTTCAATGTCCTCCTGTCCTTCGGTCTCTCTCCGTGCAGACACCACGTGGGGCCTTGAAATGAAAGGGTAATCCTCCAGTACTTTTTCGTGATATTAGAGTTCCGACTGTTTTTAGCGCTGTAAGTGACGTATTGCTAAATTACCCAAGCATCAAGGAGAATGCTGGGAATGTATGTACACGCGCCACATGCGCTCACCTTCCCCGTATAAAATATTCGAAGTAAATAACCGAAATAAAGCGTTGACGAAAGCGCGTGCAAGATGCCATTTGTTTTAGGCATTCGCTTTAAAACAGTTACTGCTGCAGACGCCAGCACGTGCAGCGCGTGTAACTACACTCGCAGCATGCTCCTTGGTGCTTGGGTAATTTAGCAAAACGGTCTATAAAGGTCGGTTCACACAAGTGTATTTCTTAAGGCCGGTTCAGACACTTGCGTTTGACAGCGTTGCGTCGAGAACTGAAAGCGAGTCACCGGCACATCTGTGCTTCGTATAAAGCGTGAACTCCAATTCAAGGAATCATCTTGGCGCACGATATAAGCAGCAGGGTTGTCCTGGTGTCTCGCTACCGCAACGCAGTCGAACGCAACTGTCTGAACCAGGCTTTACGTTACGTGAGAAGTCACTGGTCCATTCGTGTTTCGTACGTCACGTGCAAAAGTACTCCTTGAACCGATCGCCACGGATTAATTCGAAGCACGGATTTCCCGGTGACTCCCGACGTAAGCGGTCGAAACGTAACGTAACGTAACGTAGGAAAATGTCCCTGTGTAAACCAACCTTTACGAGGCGTAATTTATTAGAACGGCGAGTTGGGCTAGTTGGTTGTACATGCTTGAAGTGAGGCGCCAAAACAACGAGGACACAAGGAGAGAAGCAGACAGGACGAGGCGCACTTTCAACTGAACTTTATTTTAGAAAAACACAGAAACGCAAGCTATGCCCAATGTACCCGTGCGCATGGGTAAGAAAAAAGATAGAACGAAGCCTAGCGCGTTTTCCTACGTGACACGTTCATTTTGAAGGAACGTATACTCTCTATCAGATAGAGATAAAGAAGGGGCGCTCACACAGACATCGGTGCCACGAAATCTTATGGTGAAGGCCTCCAAGATTTCGCGAGCGACTTTTGTTGCGCCGCTTCCAACAATTCTTGTTTCGTCAAACTTTGGGTTACACTCGCATCGATCACAGTGTACTGCCAAGTGGCCAGACGGGGATTGCCTAGTTGACGCAGAGTGCTCCCTGATTCTATCATTGATGCACCTCCCCGTCTGGCCAACATACACTCTCCCGCAAGACAGGGGTATCTCATAGACGACTTCAGTGACGCAATCGCGGTACTGCGTCACGTGTCTCTTTTTGCAATCCCTTTCTGTCGCAGTGGCTTCACCTGAGCTCCTATTGACCCTATTGCACAATGCAGAAAGTTTATTTGGCGCAGAAAAGACAACTGGAATGCCAAACCTATTGGCTACCTTCTTCAGGTTGTGGGATAGTCTGTGTATGTAGGGTAAGACCGCAGGTCTGGCCGCCTTCCTTATGCTACTCTCACAATCCTCCCTGCTGTGCTTTTTTGTCTTTTTTAACAAGGTCTCCGACACATCGCGAAGCACATTGGGAGGGAAACCCGCCGCCTCCAATCTGCTGAGCTGCGCGTGAAAGCTGGCGTTCATTCTATGCTTGCACGATTTTTTCAGCGAGCCCGCCAAGCAGGCGCTAGGCTTCGTTCTATCTTTTTTCTTACCCATGCGCACGTGTACATTGGGCATAGCTTGCGTTTCTGTGTTTTTCTAAAATAAAGTTCAGTTGAAAGTGCGCCTCGTCCTGTCTGCTTCTCTCCTTGTGTCCTCGTTGTTTTGGCGCCTCACTTCAAGCAAGTAATTTATTTTTCGATGCCTTGTGTAGTTTTGTAGATATCTTATCTCAAAGATTTGTTTCGGGAGCCGGCGGCGAAACCCAAACTACCGGCTCGAAAATTATGGCAACCCTGGTAATCAGCTGCATGGCCATCGTGTGACGTAAAGTTCGTACCGCGGTACCGCAAAATGTGCGACTGGCCTAATCGCAAGAGCAGTTCCGATCAGTCACGTAAGATGCTATGGCTGTTTTAATTTTTTGCGTCGTAGATATCAAACATGTGTAACAAATATTATACAGGGTGTCACAAAAAAAACAATTTACCTTTTTTTTTTTTTTTACCGCAAAAATAAACTAGGCATTGCCGAACTCTTATCCTTCGTCCAAAGGTAGCGCTAGAGGTCACAACCAGATGCCAAAGTTTCAGCCCGATCCGATACCTTGTTCAAAAGTTACAAGTGATTTTCTGAATATTTCAATCGTAAAATGGCGGCCGACGGAGTTTTCAAATACATGGGGCTCTATAGCACCAGAAACCGAAAACGGGAAAAAATGGGCTCCATTTTTGCCCATTTTTGGTGTCACAAAATAACGCACACATGTTGTGTTATTTTGTCACACAAAATAACACGCTATAACAAAATAACATTAGGAGGCCAACACGAGGAGGGCCGAGTTTCAGCGGCGCCTCGTGGCGGGGCCTAAAACGCGTTTTTTTTTTTTTTCGTGTTTTTCGCGTTGCACCAGGTTGTGTTGGCCTTTATGGTAGAGTGTACTAGGAGGTACGAGTAGGACGAGCTGCAGGCACCTCTCATGCTTTCAGCTGCACCTCAAAATCTGGAAAGCGATCAGGTGAAACCAAGCCACTTCGATCGCAGCGCCACCTCCGCTGTGTACGATCGAGCAACGACACAGGTCAAGGTCAAATGGGCAGTATAGCCCCTGTGGGGCTATATTGTATTAGGGGCGAAGCTCCTTCAGGTGTGTCCACACGGCGGACCAAATTGCTGTTTTGGTCCGCGGACCGCGCATCACTTGATTTTACGTCACCGGTTTTCGAGGTCCGCCAGCGGTCCGCGGCCCGCGCTTCTGAGAAATGCCAAGCGGCTTTTCTCGCCCGGACACTTGGCGGTCGACCGCGGCGTTTTCAGTATAATTGAAGCGCGAACCGCCGAATTCAGAAACCTCACTCAAACTACACTCAAACTGAAGGGCCCCTCCACTTCCTCGAGGAAGGCGCGAGGGCCGGCGCTGGCCAATCGCGAGGACGGATCCGTCCTCGCGATTGGCCAGTCCTCCTCGTCCTCAATAGTCAACGCCAGGGCCACCGCGGCCAAACGTCTCTTTCGTTCAACCTCCACCTTGGCTCCTTACAAATAGCCTCAAAGCAGCTTGCTGCATGCGTTTGGCGGAGCTGTGAGGTCGAGGGTTAAGCGTGTTTCACATGCAGCGGTTTTGGCCCTAGAGCGGCGCGATTTCTGCCGTCGCGGCGCTCTGGCCAGCACCAGCGGTTGAGCGGCACGAGTGCCGCGACGGCAGAAATCGCGCCGCTCCAGGGCCAAAATCGCTGCATGTGAAACCCGCTTGAGGGCCAAAATCGCTGCATGTGAAACACGCTTTAGACCGGCCCGTTCACTCTGTCGTCTGCTCTTTTGGTCCGCCGTGTGGATGCTCATTGCAGCCGGGCGGCCCGCGGGCCGCGCATCACGCGATCAATCGGTCCGCGGCCCGGTCCGTCGTGTGGATACGCCTTAATGCCCGAGTCCCACTAGAATGACGAACAGAAACAAACGACAGCGACAAGCCTCAAGGGAGCGCGTGCACGCACGTGCTGAGAGCGGACGCATGTTCTATGGGCTCCGCAGAAAATCGTCCTTTTTCTTGGAAAATTCCTTTTCTGTGCGGTGAAAAGTGTTGGAGAAGACAGAGCTAACGTTCCGGTTTCGCTCGATACCACTTTCATGCCGGTGAGCCGAATCTTTCTCATTTCAAGGACATTGTCACGATTCTGGCCCACGGTGGGCCTGTTAACACTCGTTAGGCTTCGCGCCGCAGGGCGCGCCGCACCGAGCTTCTCGGAGCGGCCGCCTAGCTAGGCCTATCGCGTGGCGGTCGCCGTCCTGGTGGGGGCTGAAGGCTGGAGGGTGGATACAAGGACCCAAGAAACTCCAGGTACCGGTCGAGTGATCGGCTATAACCCAGACGAGGTGGCGCATGGATTTATCAACCTGGCGCAGCGGCCACTCCGGGATGATGGAATCAAGGATGCCACCTTGGGGGACCTGGGGGGCTATGTTGCGCTTTTTGCACTCCCAGGAGACTAGGGAGAGGGAAGTGACGTCAACGACACAGCGAACGCAGATTGGGTGTTGATTTCGTTTTCTTCTGTCAACATCCAATCTGCGTTTGCTGTGTCGTCGACGTCACTTCCCTCTTCCTAGTCTCCTGGGAGTCCAAAAAGCGCAACATAGCACCCCAGGAGGACGGAGGACCCGACAATGGCTGGGTGCAAGTACTGATGCAGAAGA